CTTTCACATTTTCCAACTTTGGTGCCCCCCAGTGGTCGAGTGCAAAACAGGAAAGTGTGGTCAACAACAACAACGTACACATTTCCCCATAGCGACAAGTATGTCAAACATATCAACAAACAAGCTTCATACAATCACAGCATCACATGAATAAACAGAAAGATTTAACTTCTGCAGTAAAGTTAAATCAAACAATGACTGAGACTGTTCTAACACTGCTTTGACTTCTCAACCCTTTGACCCGCGAAACCTGTCAGTGAGTTTGAAAAGCATGATACCTTTTTAATTTATTTCCATTTATCAGAAGCAAAAACTGTAGAAAAATAAAACCCCTGAAAGAATTGTCTCATTTTTCCAGCGGACCCTGAACTACTCATCTGTTCTGTTGCAAAACTGAACCAAACCTAAACTTAAAAATAAATCACAATATTCCATCAAGACCGCTTTATTACACACGTCTCATTTCAAAATGTGCCAAAAATACATCAAATCTGCACCGAACGGATTCTGTAATAAACAAAAAACTGTGGAGCCACAAGTGACGTTCAGGGACGTCCAGGCTGAACTGCAGGCTGTGTCTACAGACAGCTGGATGGAGCTGAATGGAGCTGGATGGAGCTGAATGGAGCTGAATGGAGCGAAGCGTAGAAACAAATCAAGAAGTAGGAAATATCTATAGTATGTAAAGCACACTTTTCCCTCATACTGGTAACACTTGTGGACACAACATGTTGATTCCAGGTTGTTTCAAACGTTTTTATTTTCCTATTTTTTACCATTTGGGCCATTATAACTTTGTCACAGTGCTTTGAGTCCCTCTACTTCCAGCCATGGCTGTGCTGTGTCCATAGAGGTGCAGGAGTTTATATTTCAGTGACCAATGAGCCCACAGTGAGTCAAAATGTGAGCATAGAACACCCAGGGACTGTCTGGGGTTCAGAGGGTTAAGGGAAGCTTTGTCTCACATATCCCACTGCAGGATGCATTTTCGTCACAGTCACTCAAGCGAATGCGGCTCTAAGTTTGTGTCACTGAGCAAGTACAAGCACATTACCTCCTCCTCGGGGATGATGGTGACCCAGACCTCGTGGACCAGATCTGTCCAGCCGGCCTCCAGAAGAACTGCTGCATCCACCACACAGACCTGTTTACCTGCAAAGACAATAAAACGCTCATGTCTCCTGTAGGAAAACAGCAAAGACAAGCAGAGTGACGGGAACACGACACACTCTGGACATCACTTCCATTTCTGCTGTTCATAAACGATTTTCTAAAAACCAACAAATGAATACTGAACTGTTCTGTCCATCAGTTCCTGAATCACATGTGGAATAAATGCACTTTAAAATAAGCATAAGAATGTTTTAATGCTATAAATGAAATAAATACACAGAACCAGGACACTGATCTGGCCGGCACAGCTCTGCAGATCATTCAGGGTAAGTCTGTATGATACCTTCGTCTCTGGCTTGACTGACTCTGCTCTTCACCAGAAGTGCGATCTCAGGCCACACGATGTCTGTCAGGGCTTTCAGTCGCTCCTGCATGAAAAACAGCATGTAGGTCAGACTTTCATTTGCTGCGTCGTAATGTGGTGTCACTTAAAGCGTAAAGTCGTATCACCTGGTTTCCAAAAACCTTCCTTCCTAATGCGCGTCTGTTGATGGTTTTATCTTCATTCAGAACATCTGAGAGCGACAAAAACAAACATCACTGCACTGCTTTACATGCTGTTCAATACAGAACATTTACAAGGGAACAGTAACAGTCAGGGCATCGGGAACACGTCTGCACTCGTTACTAAAACATATGCTTCTGTTTGCCTCCAGGTTGTACAACACGTCTGTTCACTGTGGGTGTTTTTGTTGCATCAACCATTTGAGGCTAAGAAATCAAAACTTGACATAGTGATAAGGCTGATGGATACAGCTGGCCGTGGTGACCCAGAACCATCCCTTAGACACAACGCTGTGGAAAGAGAGTATTTTATGAGGAGCTGGACTTGTGGAAGGAGTTTTTAGCATTCAGACTTCAGACGGAGGTCCGGCCTTTTTAAAGTTTAAAATTCCAAGATTCATTTTCTATATTCGGTCGAATATCTTAAAAGAAAAGGCGACGACGTTCTAGCAGTACTTGGCCATTAAAGCTGATTNAAACATTAGATGAAACAATAAAAGTAATGAAACATCTGTAAAAAGGCATCAGAGCAGAAATCAACGCTTTGTGAACTGAGGAACTGTCTGAGCTGTTCTGGTCGTCAGGAGGAGCTTGTCCTGCTGGAAACACAGACGTTACTGGATGTACCTGCAGCTTTATGAGAACATGTGTAGGCCTCTGACCGGCTGCTCGTGTGAAGTGACCAGATGTTAGCTGGTGGTGGACCTCCCTCGCTCTGCTAGCTGCTCCCAGCAAGAGCTGAACACTGAAAAACTCATATTGAAGCCAGAAAGCTCAAACACCAAACACTTGTGTGCGTAGATGATGTGTAGCTTTACTTCAGCTCTTCCAGTGAAGTGCAGCTTCCAACATTTTTGTACGAGCTACGTGGCACTGATTCCTAATCCGTCCTGAACGCTGGGAGTTACAGCGTTACACAGTTTGGTAAAGACCCTGTTTTCCCTCGTCTTCATCCAGTTGTTGCCGTCTGTCAGTAAACAGTTAAACTTTTGGGGGTCTGCGCCATCAATCAGCTGCTTTTAGTTCTGGGAATATGTTTGAAGTCTAAAGTAAACTATGTGCCTCCCCCATATGGTCCCACTTAGACATACCAGGCCCACGAGCTGCTCCCTCACATCGCCGTAGTCGCCCCCACCGAGGGAACCGCGTCCATCTGAAACCACAACTCCATCATTTAAGGGTCAAAAAAGTGACTACGCACCATGTGTTATTGGTGTCAGAGTGTTGTAAGCCCGCCACAAGAATTTGGTGTTTGTTTTTCACAGCTAATGAGCCACAGCGGCCTCAGCAGTCTGACTCTGTAGTTCAATGTTCACTTACTGTGGCTTCTATCAAACCCATGCACGGATTTACAAACACTGACAGTAAAGTGATGCTCCTTTCAAAGTAATGCGAAAAATAGTTTTTATTTATCTTTTAGCTTCATGCCAAGTGCGCTCATACGACTGTGATTTTTTTTTCCACAGACTTTCCCTGTTTGGTTAAATTACAACCAACAGAAAGAGCGTCGATGAACACGTTAACCATAAATAACACGGTGAAGGCTACGAATAACGTCCAAAACAAACAGAGACAGTAACTCACTCCATTTTAACACCGTCTCACTGCATTTGAATGAACCACGTGTCATTGTTTTACAGATATATGATCATTTTTGAGAGAAAATGCATTATTTATAGTAAAGATGACAAACGGTACAATCAACTGTAATTTTAAAGATTTTCCTTCTTTTGCGTAACTACCAATAAAAACTCAGCGACGGTGCCAGATTTACATTTCTGATTCTTGAATTATGATTTTTAAACTTACAGGATTTTGGCACTGTTGCTGCCAGATTTTCATTATTTTTACAGATTTGTTGATTTTTATTTTTTACAGTGTTGCAAAATAAATAAATAAATTCATGATAAAGAGTCATAAATTGTTTAATCAGCCTTCAACATTTGCCGTCTACACGCAGATTTTTGTGTGAAAAACAAATTAGCATCCAGTTTACTATCGTCTATATTTTCTCATTTTAAACTGCAAATGTTCAGGAGTTAAATGCAGTGAGAAATAGTTCAGCTTTATCAGTCGTATTTATACATGAAAACACATCTGATGTTTTGTTTTTCCTGTTAAAGGTCTAGTTTAACATTTGCTGTGCTCGGTCTTCTTCGGTTCTTGTAGCTTCACCTGTGTGGAGTTTCTCAAGTCACTTGTCAGGTGGCTTGTTTGGATCACCTTGAAGAGCAGTTGTTGTTGGCCTGGAGCTGCCTCGGTGTCTCCCGTCTCTTCGTGTGATCCCAGACGACTCCGTGATGCTGAGACCTGCCGTCTGCGGGGGTCAAACCATCTGTCGCAGGACTCTTTGATCCTCTTGTCACTGAAGATGTAGTCCTTTATGGCTGCGCGTCATGTGTGAGGCTGCTGTCAGGCTGCAGAGGGAACAGACGACAAACCTCCAAACATCTGCACAATACTGAATGTGTGCCGTCCTTGGTGTAAACGAGACACACAGTGACATCATCTGCTCCTTCACACATTATTTTCTGTATTTGTGAAAAACACAGTTCTTCCAGTGACACGACAGAACTGAGCCGTGACTTCACGTCTAATGTTAAATAACGTTTAACCCACAACTGTGATTCACCACATATCTACACTTTTGTAGTTTTATAAAGACGTGTTTGTTTAATGAGAGATAAATGCAGAACTACAGAAGAACTAACTTGTTAACGTAATGTGTTGATCAGTGTGTGACATGAAACCTGTCATGCAGTCAGTACAGCGGTTATCATTCAGCATTCATTGTTTTTACACTTTACATGAAAAAGCCAAAAAATGCTCCTGATCTCATGTAAGATCTGAACTAATCAGGGCTACAAGATGTATGTTAATAAAAAGACATTACTGTATTTTAATTGCATGACTATTTCCTGTCATATTTCTGTGTTTCTGGTGCCCAAGCTGCTGAAATATTATTTTTTTTACAGTGCAGGTGATGATTTTGCAGATTCATAAGATCATTGCACTGAATGGAAACTGTACTGACTATAAACTATACACAACAATGCTCTGCAGCTGTCTATACTGCTTACATAATAACTGTTATAAACACATTTAGAGTTTTCATTGATCTCATTGTGCGCTTGCAGAGCTAAAGTTAAAACAATATGTAAAGCAAACTTAGAAGAATGTCCAACAACTTCATTCACGTCCAGAACATCACCAGACGAAACTAGAACCCTTCACACCAGCTTCACATGATCACACAGACGAGAGAAAAACCAGTCTGCAGCTAACAATTGTGACACAAAAGGCGAATGAGCACGCACCTCAGAGACACACCCAGCCAGCAGCGCTGCTCAGACCAACAGGTTTACAGGTGTCGTCTACAGGACGAGCTTAGTGTTGGTGGTCACTCGCTCTCACTCGTCCACTTTCATCTGCAGAAACTCAAACCAGGTAAAAGCAAAAAGGATTTTTGGAGTCACCTCAGAGGTTTGTCTGTCTGCTGAGAGCCAGACAGGAGCGTCGGTGCAAACAGAAAGCTGTCCTACTGGCTCTGCCTGATTCCTGCCTCCACTCTGTCACAGGCTGCTGAGTGCTTCCAGGGAATAAAGTGGCACAAAGAAGGTCACAGCCGGGAAGTGTGTTCTGAGAGGAGACACAGACTTCATGGAGGTAGACATGCTTTTTGTTCCTATGGCTGTGTGGTGTTGGTGTACTCTGTCCCACCTTGTTGCTCTGGTTCTGTTCAGACTCAATGCTTTCTCTCTCCCACACATTTCCTACTCACTGCCTCTTTTGTTTTCTGTCACACATGTTTTCTGTCCTTTCTGTTCTCAGGTCAGCGGGCCGGCGGGGGCTGGACATGTGTGTTTTTAATTGTCCTTCCGATAGCGCTGCCTGTTTCCTGTGTACCGAGGGGCAGAGAGAGGCTAGCCATCGCAGAGGCAGTCTGAAAGCAGAGGCTCCTCCTGCCAGCATCTCAGAGGATGTGTGAAGACAGACAGGGCGAGTGTGCAACACACCAGTTTCACACCAGACCCATAAACTGAGCGGCACAAACCACAACCAGGAGAAGAGGAAGAAGGCCCAACAGATGAGTGGCTGTTTGATGGTATCATCTCAACTCGAGGATGGAGAAAGACAGTAGGAAACCAAAGACCTTTGTGTCCACCTTCCGCTTGGCCCTCAAGCCTCAAACCCAGCCTACCTCTGTGAAGAAGCAGAAAGAGAACGGACTGGACACAACGGACAGGACTTTGATGGGAAACAGCAAACTGGGGATCCCATCTGCAGCAGGTAAAGGCATGACAAACAGCTGACAAGTTCATTTTCTGATCTGCCCGTTTGTAAAACTCTGCTCTAACCGTTCAGTATTGCAATATAACTGGAAGGTGTTCATCACATTTACCACAGTTGCACCACTTCCCTCAGCCCACTGTGGCGATTCACGCTTCAGCTCAAACCGCTCACATGAGGACATTTCAAAGGACTTTCAGGGACACCAGGAAGGCTGGAATCTGTTTGAGTAAATCTGTACAACAAAGTCAGAACCCCTGAAGCTGTGTGTTGAAGTCACTAGTTTGACATTATTGTGAAATGTGCTGTTAGTTGTGGTGTCTGACGGTTAGTTTTGTCCTCAAACCTTTCCTCCCCTCCTGCTCCCTAATGTACACAGACTGATGGCATTCCTTCGTCCACTGGTGACCGCCCACTGACCACCCAGCTGGACGTTCCAGCACCAAAATGCACTCGTACTTATACAAATGTGGTGGGAAAACCTTGTAAACAGCCAGTTGAATTCCACTTCACTTACAGCCGTACTGTAGTCTATTAAACCAGATCAGTGATGAACTGACGCCGCTCAGCCTGGAGGCAAAAACAGACAAAGACCTGCATTAGTCTGCAGCCTTCTGCAGTCAGGAGCATGAACCCATGAACAGCTTATAGTGCCACAGTACACTTTGTGAAAAGAGATTTTTTTTAAATGAACCGTTTCTCTAAAGCGTTCTGTATAGAGCCTCCACAGGCTTCGTAAACAACCCTCAAAAAACTGGTTCCAGTCTGGAGTTTAAATAGTGCTTCAAAAAACTGCAGCGGAAAAAATGTTTTGTCAGGAACCATTTTCAGGATGAAGGATCTTAAGGAAGGATAATAATTTAAGAACAAAGGGACTCAGACATGCAGTATTCTGGCTCTTTTCCATTCTAATGCATTTAATAGCTTCAGCTCTGGACTGTTGATCAGAAGATGCCAGTTTGGGATTTGAGAAACGCCGTTCTCACCGTTTTCTGATGTTTTACAGACCAAGTGATTGATCTAACTCTCTAACTTTATTACCTGCCACCAAACCAAATAACTCCAATAAAAATACAAATCTTTAATTCTGTGGCGAACCACATAAATTAATTAAAAACCATCCTAAAGGCTCTTTAATTGGCACAACAAGAGAACCTTCTGAAGAACCATTAAATAACCATCATTTTTCTGAGTATCCTTATTTTTATGCAGCATCTTTAAATACATTTATGTTGCATAACGTAGATGCACCAACGAGCTCCAGCCCCCCTGCAGCCCTTTGCCAGACTAAGCCGTGTACAGATAATGGATGGCTGGACACACACATGAAACACCAGCTAATGATTGAGGGTTTGGATGATGTGGTCCATCCTGGTGAGTCAGTGATAGAGGAACGCTGGCCTGCAACTAAACAAAGCATGTCTGGAAACAAAACCTATTGTCTTTGTACATCTGCTTTCTGTTCAGATTCCCGGCAGACAAAAGTTCAGAGTGTTGAAGCGCCGCGCTTCAAAGAGCCGCTCAGAGACTGTACAGTCTGTGGTGGAGGTGATGCTACGCTGCAAGGTGTTATCACCGGAAGTCAACCTCTGAGCGTTTCCTGGCTACACAATGGTAAGTGACTCATTAGAATTCTTTAGAAAATACCAGTTGGTAGAATATGTCAGCCATGAAGACGTCCAAACAATGACAGATCGACTGTATTGATCATCTGTGATGGAAACATGTTGGTCTGATGTTTTCTTGGTTTGTAGGTGAGAAGGTGCATTCAAATAAGACTTCATTCAAAAACGGTGTTGCCAGCCTGACTCTGTCTGCGTGTTCACCTGTAAACGCTGGTACGTACACCTGCACAGCTGAGAATGCTGCAGGTAAACAGTCGAGCAGCGCTGCACTACGTATCACAGGTAAAGCATTTTGTGCAGAACAACCAGTGATGATGAGCAGAGCGGCATTAAACTGACCCCTGTACAGTAAACCTACTTCACTCTGTTTACACTGGAACAGCAACAAAGGAAACCGTCAGAACAAACCGCCGTGAGCTGCACGGTGAGGTCACGTCTGGGGTTGCATCACATGAAAACACCAGATTGTCCTCAGCTTCTAAAGGGGCAGAAGAAAAGGACAAAGGTAGATCACTAAACATCGTCACACACCCATGAAATTATCCCTTGTTTCTGCTTTTCTTCTTCCTTTGAATAAAATAATCCTCTACAAATAATGCAAATTAACCGTAATACACTCACCATAATGGAGGGTAGGGAGGCAGCAACGAATGCAGGAAGTGACAAACTGAGACCGATGTGGGCGTTTAAATCACAGCTTTGAGTCTCAGCACCCACACAAACATTTCTGGTAACTGAACATGGAGTCCAGAAACTGCTGCCTACCTGTTCAAAAAAATGCTACCACATGATTGGTCAGTTGCTTTTTAAATCCCCCAATCAGTGAGCCTACCTGTAAATCGGCCATCTTCTTCAGTCTCCACAGACATCAGAGACAGCAGCCTTCAGACAAAAGCCTCCACCAACAAAGGTGAGGATCCCATATCACATCATACAAAGACCTGAATGAAGATAAGGTTGATTTCTTTGGCTCAGGCTTTAGAAAACAAACTAATTGAATCTCCTCAGGGCCTCCTGTGGAGTTTCTGGACCCACCAGAGCAGGTGGAGGTCCGAGTGGGCGAGCAGGCCCGACTACAGTGTGAGTTCAGGAGCAGCTCCGTCCCTGTGGCCTGCTGCTGGATTTACAACAGAGACAAGGTCCGAATGTCTGAACTGTCGTTAGCATCGAGCTTCGACTTGTTCATTTGTGCCTGTGAAACCCTTGATGACGTCCAACCTTGTTCCTCTGCAGGTGGTGGCAGGAGGGCCGCGGATTTCAATCTGCAGCACCAAGACGCAGAGCGGCGTTGAGATCTCTCAGGCGGTTCCGGAGGATACAGGCCTGTACACTGTGGTTGTACGAAACAGAACAGGTTCTGCTCAGCACACAGTTTCGCTCAGCGTCATAGGTGAGACTCACTTCAGTGCTCTAAGTGATCACTGCTGTGCTGATAGGAGGCTGACAGACTGAACAAAAGAAATCAGAGACAGATAATGAGGTTAAAAGTGAAAAGTCAGGAGCTCGGAACCATAATAATAATAATACGACATTTAAACTTACGCCTCAAGTGAAGGAAAACACTCCAAATATCATTGCCTCTGATTCTTTTGTTGCTTTGTTTCTCCTCAGACCGGCCTGATCCACCAGCATCCCATCCGGTTGTGTCCCAGCTGTCCACTCAGTCCCTGGTTCTGTCCTGGACTGGTCCCAGCTACGACGGTGGTACGGCTGTGTTGGGCTACATTGTGGAGGTCAGTCAAGGCGGTTCAGACAACCCCAGCAGCTGGACTCAACTAATAAACCGCTGTAAGAACACGTCCTTCCACGTCCGCTCGGGCCTGGAGCCTCTGGGGCAGTACCGCTTCCGAGTCAGAGCTTACAACTCGGCAGGGGTCAGTGAACCGAGCCAGGAGTCCGAGTTTGTCAAGATGGCGACTGCAAGTGGGTGACACGGTGTATGACTCGCCACAGAAAGTCGTGTTCTTTGATTTGTTTTGTCACTTCTGTAAGAAAATTGATTATTTTGCCATCTTTGTGTCTAAAGAGGAGAAGAAAGAAGAACCAGAGTCATACGTCACCATGACCACAGACACCAAACATAAAGTCAAGGAGCACTACAACGTGCACGAGAAGCTGGGCGTGTAAGTCAGGAGTCCATACTTGGCACAGATGGGATCCAGTCTGAAGACCTACCTAAGGTTTCTAACTGATTGTGCTTTTAAAATTTATAGTGGAAAATTTGGAGACGTGCACCGACTGACCCACAAAGAGACGGGCCAGGCTTACGCAGGGAAGTTCTACCGGGCCAGGTCCTCCAAGGAGAAGGCGACCGCTCGCAAAGAGATCGAAATAATGAACAAGCTTCACCACCCGAAACTTGTGCAGTGTCTGGCTGCCTATGACACCCGGTCGGAGCTGGTCATGGTCATGGAGTAGTAAGTCACGTTCAACTATATATGATGATGAACAGTTTATTCTGCTCTTCTAAAGACACAAAATATCATAACACAACACATCAAAATATCCTGTCAGGTTGTGTATAAACTAGAGACGAAGACATTGCAGCAATAGTTGGTGGTTAAACGTTTGTACATTCAGTTTTGTGAATTGAAACCTTTCACACTCTAAAATCCTGGAAGTGTGTAAAAGACATTTTACAATAACACTAGATGCACCAACGCAGTCCCACTACAAGACTACATAGGAGTTCCTTGTGTGTCTAGCATCGAAGGCGGCGAGCTCTTTGAACGCATCGTGGATGACAACTTCGAGCACACGGAGCCCACCAGTGCCCGCTACATGCAGCAGATCCTGGAGGGCATGCAGTACGTTCACAAGCAGAACATCATCCACTTGGACCTCAAACCGGAGAACATCGTCTGTGTGGACACAACCGGGACACGGATCAAGATCATCGACTTCGGCTTGGCGAGTGAACTGGGTGAGTCTGGTTGGATTTGCACCTTTTTATGACAGATCCTCTTTTACTGTATTTGAAAAGGTTTTGCAGTTTCTTTCTATGCACAGGTAGTTGCATGCAGGTGTCTGGCTTCATAAACTCTGCTTCAGTTTTAACTGACACAAATATATTTTCTTTTTTTACCTTGACAATATTGCAAGGTCAATACAGGACACCTGACTCTAATGAATGCCGAAGATAGCATCAGGGAGTGTCTACATTCCTGCAGGTTTATGTTGCCCATTCCACTTTCTTTAAATAGACTCCTACCTCAACTCAGTGAAGGCAGCAAAGCACATGAAGCCAATTCGTGCAGAAAATGTGATGCTCCAGATGCAGCAGCTCCAGACTGGGTGGTCTATTTAGAGAAGACGAGAGCTTTCTGTAAATAGGTTCATGCAAACACATACCAAGTGTTTGGGGGAAACATTTTGAGGAAGTTGTTTCTTGTCCTGTTTTTCAGAGGAGGGTAAACCTCTGATGGTGCTGCACGGTACGCCCGAGTTTGTGGCCCCTGAGGTGATCAACTATGAGCCCGTGGGCCTGGAGACCGACATGTGGAGCATCGGAGTCATCTGCTTCATCCTGTGAGTTGAACTGTGGTGATGATGGCTGCAGCTGGAAAAAAGTGGAGTGCACAACACCTGATGTGATTTCATGTCCTCATAAAATGTTTAAAAGAAAACATGCTCGCAGTGAGTTTTTGGGTTTTTTTTTTTGCTTAAAACTTTTGCAAAATGAAATGGCAAAGCAGCCAAATGTAATCTATTACCACCTTGGATTGCTCACTGATGTAAACTTAATGGGCTAAACACTGCAATGCTCCCCATACATATCTACATGGATCCACAAATACAGACTTGGCACCATCTGCTGGTGCTGTCTTGGTATGACTGCACTGAAAACACATCATGTTCCCCCAAGTTGAAAAAACTGTCTTTTTTTGGGGGGTATAGACACTGCAGATGAGCTCATACAGTTTGTTTGAGCCTGCGCTCATTATATCTTCTGATCTAGGCTCAGTGGAGAATCCCCCTTCCAGGGAAACAGTGATGCTGAGACCTTTGCTCTTGTGACCGCTGCCCGCTACGAGTTCGACGAGGAGAGTTTTGAGGACATCTCGGATCAAGCTAAAGACTTTATCAGCTCCCTGCTCAAGAAAGACCGGAGGTTGGTCTGTTTTTATGTTTTAATCTCTGCTTTATATAATTATGCTAAATGGCAAACTGCTCCATATGATACGTGCACTAGGATCAAGTATATACGCTGAACAAAAACATAAATGCAGCACACTGATGGTTTTCTTTCTTTTGTTATGATCAGACTTCAGTCTAGCTAAAAGTGTTTAAGCTGGTCAACTGGTGACAAACCATTCAGTTAATCCTGGCTAGGTGTGGCCTTAAGGACCATGATTCAACAGCGTGACCAGAACACAGACACTCCCTTGATGAGTGACCTTAAAATGCAGTTTTATCCAAATGACACAACGCAACAGGTGACAAGAAACGGACGAGGACGGGCTGGTGTGCATGTCGGATGCTGACACGTCATTTAGGGCCGTAGCCAGCAACTTGAATGTCTGCAGCTCCACCGCTTGTTGTCTAGGAACTCATTTCAGACAGCTCTGGATGTCTGATCCTGTCCCCCAACGTGTCCACCAGCTTCACCGAGACCTTCAGGAAGAGTGGGACAAAATCCCTCCAGCAGTCTTGACAATCTGATGACTGACTTGTGATTTCTGGCCTGCGACCCGTAGATCCGTCTTCCTATTATCATTTCTGAAATAGTGCAGACGTGGTTGTGTCATGACGTCCAGTGTGTTGTAGAGACACCGCTGGTTGCAACACCATCTATTTCCGATATGTCAGTATGTGTATTTATGATGGAGAGTTTTAAACTGCTGCTTTGTTCATGGTGTCACACTCTGAGCTCCAGTTTCTTGGGACATTCCCTCATCTGCAGAAAATGAATTCACACGCGAGTTAACGTTGAAAATAAGAGACACACACTCCATCACACAGCAGATAGTGCACACCTGCATCACAGGGAGTGTTTGACAGCCTTTGCTTGTCCGTCTCCAGAGGCAGGTTGTCGTGCACCGAGGCCCTGGCTCACCCCTGGATGGCCTCCTTCACCCCTCTGAGCCGCAGACCCACCAAGTCCCTCAACAAGGAGAAGATGAGACGCTTTCTGGCCAAGCGCAAGTGGAAGGTAACACCTGAGCAATGACTCCAACGCTGTTAGCACAACGCATGAATAATTTTCTTATCAGCGCTTCCTTATGATGGCTTTTTAATGTCGTCGTCCTGTATAGACCTGAAGCCTGGTTATGAGTCTAGTTTGTCATTCAGTGCAATTTTTTTTTTTTCCCTTTTAAACTTCTAGAAAACTGGCAAGGCTGTTCTGGCCCTACAGCGAATGGCTAACCTCTCCAACAGGCCAGACTCTCCTGGCAGCTCTTTAGAGGGTAAGACAGATAAAGACACACACACACACACACACACACACACACACACACACACACACACACACACACACAATGCCCTCCCACGTCCTAGATCTACATGCATATGGCAGATGACTCACAGTTTCAGATTGTCACTTCAAGTTTACCCTTTTATGATCAGTAAAGCCTTTTCTGTTTCATTCATCATCATCCACCCTCTCATCCAGAGCCAGGCTGGAGCCAGGAGGCAGAGGAGGCCATCCAGTCGCTGGATAAGCAGCTTCAGATCGAGCCTCGCTTCCAGCAGGCCCTGAAGGACGCCACCCTTCCCAAGGGAGCGACTGCTCAGCTAACGTGCCTTGTCAATGGTAGAGTGACAGAAGTGTGATGTGCATTATTACTGCCAAGCTGCATTATGCAAGAGCCGAGGGCAGAAACACGACGCTGTCTACAATATGAGCAATGGAACGAAATGTGAAGCTACGACCAGTATTTTTAACACTGAATCAGATTACCATAAGAGCTGAAAACATCTGATTATCACCCAGTTGAGCACCTCCTGTGAGCTCAGTGTCCAGATGCTGGGCTCAGCAGCTTTACTGTTCTCTGTGTTTAATCTACACAAGACCAGAGTGTTAAAATGATACGAGCAACATCGATCTTCTCATCCTTATAGTGCCCTAAAATGCTGAACTATTCTTTAATCTGTTTAACATTTAGAACAACTTTTAAAGCTGCGAACACTTTTTCCCCCCAAATATTAATGAGTTTCTCTCTTTTTTTTTTTCTCCTGTAAATGATAAAATACCTCAATCTGTTTGGCTGATATGGGAGATTGTCAGCTACACCTAAGTCATGTCATTATGTTTATGTAATGTGCAGTGTCCTGTTTTTGTACCGTTGTTATGCACAGATGTCTTATTGTCTGTATTCTAGGTTACCCACAGCCGGTGGTGAAGTGGCTTCAGGATGAGAAGCTGATGTCTGAGTCGTGCAGAGTGACAATGCAGCAACATGAAGACGGGCTCTGCTCTCTGGTTCTGGCTGATCTGGAGCCTTCTGACTCCGGGGTTTATGTGTGCAGAGCCAGCAACAAGCTGGGGGAAGCCATGTGCTCTGCCAAGCTGAAAGTGGAGCTGTAAGGGAACGTGAAGCGTTTAGGCTTTCCCTCATTAGAGTCACGGCACGTCAGCTCACGGATGGACAGCTACTCACGTCATGTCTAAGCAAAGAAAGGGCGTGTTGTCGTCATCTAGCATCAAGGGGGATTATGGGGTTTGGAGACACATCACCTGTTAGCAGGGCACTCATGAAGTTTGTATTCCTGTAATGCGGTTAGTAACTGATGCACAACGTTCTGTACCGACACGAGGTGACGTCACGCCGCAGAGATCAGACAGGTCACGTGAAAACTGTACATGTTACATATTTAAATATTGTTCAAATGTAAATGTTTTAAGAGGTAATAAAATTAAAGGTTGAGTTTAAAAGAACAACTGAGCTGAAGTGTTTTAAAATGTGAGCGTGATTCAAACTCATGCCTTGAAGTTAATGAAGAAGAAAACCAGAGGTTACTGATGGAAACGTTTCATTTAATGTTCTGTGCAAAGTTCTACAAGCAGCTCATGGAGTTAGCAGACGACATGCAGGTCAGCGACAGACATGAAATAACACGTTACAAGTCTTTTTAACAAAAGTACGGCTGAAGAACGACACAGTTCTCCTTCTGTAAAGGCTGATTGACACTCGGCTGCTCCCTGGAGCTCTTTCAGGTGCTTTCCAACATATTCAGATATTCTGCTGAACTGACAACACCGTCTACTGCAGAGGGCATGTTTGTGGATCGGACTTTAAAAATGTTCAGATGGATTTTTGTTAAACACCTTTTGAAGGAATCGTGTAGTTTGTCCACTGATCTGCTACGCTGCTGGTAAACATGACATCAGGTGTTCTCCATCATTGGTCAGTGCATTGATCCTTTCATGGTATCGGTCTTCTACAGGGTTTAATTCAGGCCCGTCATGTTCTACAGATGTTCTACCAGTATCTACAGACGTTTGGACAAAAACAGGCTTTTGGTCAAATTCATCTTTTACTGAGTGTTTTTTTTAATGTGCATTATTCACATATCAGTAATTCATCTTCCATATATTACACTTCTCACTCCCAGCCCAAAGTATTTATTCAATTAAATTTCATTCAATGCAACAGCTACACAGATTTTATGACAAACTCTCTACACACTACATCGTTTGGTAATTTATTATTCCTCGTTAGACAATAATAGAAATTTGTTAAAATACTCTCAAAACTCTGAACGAACAAAGATAATTTATTTCTATGGTTTAATCGCAGCATTTGTTTGACACTACCTCCTCCCTACCATGAGTTGCTTTCTAGGGACAATCATATTGTGTCAAAAGACGCAGAACCGAGATGGACCTTGTTGGAAGTGTGATCAGCTGACATGGTGCCGATGCTTCTGAATACACTGACTGGGGACGCCTCAGGATGACCGAGTCATTTAAACAGTATTCATCTGAAGGCATGCTGCTCATTAAACAAGATCTTTGGATGAGGACAGACCTACACTTAGGTTAATATGACACTTTATTGATCCCAAACAGGAATTCCAGAGGGAAAATTCCAAAGTTATGTTGTTCGGGACCATTTTTGAAATCCTTCCTCATCCGTCTTTCAGCTTTAAAGTTTAAAACGTGTGGAAAGACAATCAGGCACTGAGTCTTGGTCAGAGAAGTGGCAGCTGGTTGGATTTGCTGCAGTACAGTGAGCCGTCTCACTTCTGTTGAAGGCAGTGTTTCCATGCGTGGATCACTCGTTTGTGCACGCGTGTTCCTGGGCCTGACGTGTGCGTGTTCGCCGCTGACGTGACACAGAGTCAGACGTGTTCCTACTGTCCCTCTTGCCTCTGATGGATTCTCTTCTGAAGAAGATTCCAAGCTTTCAGTACCTTCAGAATAAAACGCAGGGGAAAATGATCCAGTGATCTTATTCTATAGACCTGGACTGTGTCATGTAATGCAGACGTGTGGATGGCGTGTGTCTGACCTGTTTGCGAGTGACTTCGGGCTCCCACAGCGTGCTCAGCACTATGTTAGCCTGCTCCACTTGCTTGCTGCTGGACCACTGACTCTCCAGTCGGCGCAGGGCGTCTTCTGTGGTCACACCATCCCGCTCCGTTATCCTCAACACAGCCTGAGAGGAGAAACAGCAGGATTCAGGGGAGGCAGGTCCAACTTTCACATTTTCCAACTTTGGTGCCCCCCAGTGGTCGAGTGCAAAACAGGAAAGTATGGTCAACAACAACAACGTACACACTCCCCCATAGCGACAAGTATGTCAAACATATCAACAAATAGGCTTCATACAATCACAGCATCACATGAATAAACAGAAAGATTTAACTTCTGCAGTCAAGTTAAATCAAATAATGACTGAGACTGTTCTAACACTGCTTTGACTTCTCAACCCTTTGACCCGCGAAACCTGTCAGTGAGTTTGAAAAGCATGATACCTTTTTAATTTATTTCCATTTATCAGAAGCAAAAACTGTAGAAAAATAAAACCCCTGAAAGAATTGTCTCATTTTTCCAGCGGACCCTGAACTACTCATCTGTTCTGTTGCAAAACTGAACCAAACCTAAACTTAAAAATAAATCACAATATTCCATCAAGACCGCTTTATTACACACGTCTCTTTTCAAAATGTGCCAAAAATACATCAAATCTGCACCGAACGGATTCTGTAATAAACACAAAAACTGGAGCCACAAGTGACTCAGCTGCAACCACAAGTCACGTTCAGGGACGTCCAGGCTGAACTGCAGGCTGTGTCTACAGACAGCTGGATGGAGCTGAATGGAGCTGGATGGAGCTGAATGGAGCTGAATGGAGCGAAGCGTAGAAACAAATCAAGAAGTAGGAAATATCTATAGTATGTAAAGCACACTTTTCCCTCATACTGGGAACACTTGTGGACACAACATGTTGATTCCAGGTTGTTTCAAACGTTTTTATTTTCCTATTTTGAACCATTTGTGCCATTCTAACTTTGTCACAGTGCTTTGAGTCCCTCTACTTCCAGCCATGGCTGTGCTGTGTCCATAGAGGTGCAGGAGTTTATATTTCAGTGACCAATGAGCCCACAGTGAGTCAAAATGTGAGCATAGAACACCCAGGGACTGTCTGGGGTTCAGAGGGTTAAGGGAAGCTTTGTCTCACATATCCCACTGCAGGATGCATTTTCGTCACAGTCACTCAAGCGAATGCGGCTCTAAGTTTGTGTCACTGAGCAAGTACAAGCACATTACCTCCTCCTCGGGGATGATGGTGACCCAGACCTCGTGGACCAGATCTGTCCAGCCGGCCTCCAGAAGAACTGCTGCATCCACCACACAGACCTGTTTACCTGCAAAGACAATAAAACGCTCATGTCTCCTGTAGGAAAACAGCAAAGACAAGCAGAGTGACGGGAACACGACACACTCTGGACATCACTTCCATTTCTGCTGTTCATAAACGATTTTCTAAAAACCAACAAATGAATACTGAACTGTTCTGTCCATCAGTTCCTGAATCACATGTGGAATAAATGCACTTTAAAATAAGCATAAGAATGTTTTAATGCTATAAATGAAATAAATACACAGAACCAGGACACTGATCTGGCCGGCACAGCTCTGCAGATCATTCAGGGTAAGTCTGTATGATACCTTCGTCTCTGGCTTGACTGACTCTGCTCTTCACCAGAAGTGCGATCTCAGGCCACACGATGTCTGTCAGGGCTTTCAGTCGCTCCTGCATGAAAAACAGCATGTAGGTCAGACTTTCATTTGCTGCGTCGTAATGTGGTGTCACTTAAAGCGTAAAGTCGTATCACCTGGTTTCCAAAAACCTTCCTTCCTAATGCGCGTCTGTTGATGGTTTTATCTTCATTCAGAACATCTGAGAGCGACAAAAACAAACATCACTGCACTGCTTTACATGCTGTTCAATACAGAACATTTACAAGGGAACAGTAACAGTCAGGGCATCGGGAACACGTCTGCACTCGTTACTAAAACATATGCTTCTGTTTGCCTCCAGGTTGTACAACACGTCTGTTCACTGTGGGTGTTTTTGTTGCATCAACCATTTGAGGCTAAGAAATCAAAACTTGACATTGTGATAAGGCTGATGGATACAGCTGGCCGTGGTGACCCAGAACCATCCCTTAGACACAACGCTGTGGAAAGAGAGTATTTTATGAGGAGCTGGACTTGTGGAAGGAGTTTTTAGCATTCAGACTTCAGACGGAGGTCCGGCCTTTTTAAAGTTTAAAATTCCAAGATTCATTTTCTATATTCGGTCGAATATCTTAAAAGAAAAGGCGACGACTTTCTAGCAGTACTTGGCCATTAAAGCTGATTCTGATTCTGATCGTGGTGTCTGAAAATAATTCTTGTTGAATTTCTTGAAATGAAACTTTAGTTTTATATAAATACTGTAGAGGTAAAAAATAAAGGACAGGACTTCTGAATGTCCACAGCAGTGACCAGATGGACTGGATTGAGATATAATAAATGCTCCTTTAATCATCAAGATGAACGGCAGAAGTCAAACAATCAACTTCAAAGTGAAATCAATGATGTGACACATCCCGACTTGAAAAAACACAAAAGCTCATTAATCATCCTCCAATGATTCAACAGGACCAGAACCCGTGTGAGTGAAGTACCACCAACACCACCGTCTAACCCGTCCAACAACATCATGTATCTGGAGGTCCAGTGTTTCCTCACCTGCCCCAAACTCTTCAAGCACTCTGTGATACCCCGCTGCACCGGGCTGGTACACCTCATGGCCCAGTTTGTCACAGTCGATCCGAACCGCGCCGAGAGCCTCCAGCCGTCTGGCGATGGAGCTCTTTCCACTGCCGCTGCCTCCCGTCAGGCCAATCACATACGGCAGAGGAGGGAGGTGGGCCGCGTCCTGGCGCAGACAAAACAGACGATAAAATGCTGTAGGTGATGCAGAAAAACAACCAGAAAGCGTTTTCACATTGAAGAACACCAGCTAATGCTGCAGCACTGCGACTCCACGGGTGGAGGTGACGACATGCTGCCCTGGAAGTGATCACAAGGAGCTCCAAGAACAAGTGGGGCCTGCGTACAGACACTAACCTCCCTCACCGCTGTGAACACGAAGAGATAAAGTCTGTATGAAAAGGGACAAACAAAAGGAAGTGAGTGTGCACCTGCCAGCTTCTGTACGACTCTCAGACTTCTATGAAAACAACCTGTTTGGCAGCTTTCTTGTGCCGTGAACCTCTAAACGAATAAATCTGGCAGATCGTCTGAAATAATCACATAAGCCTGATTCATCTTCAGTTGTCAGTAAACACATGAGCCGACCAGCTCCACACACACGGAGCTGCTAAAGTCAAAATGTGAGGTTTCACAGCACTTTAAAAAGCCACTGTACATTTAGAGCATTGGATAGAAGAAGAGAAATGTTTCTACCTGGAATCAGACAGCTCCTATTAAAGCTGTTAAACATTTAAGATCCCACAAACAGACTGAGCCCCTCATAAAGAGTCAGCTTCCTGTTTCTGTTGCTTCACCTTCTAAACTTCTGCTGGAAAAACAAAGCCAGTTCAGTTTAATGTTTTGCTTCAGTGAGTGATTAAAAAAACCCAACCACGTGGTTCAGAGCACAATCTGACAACGACATTAACAGGAGTGGAGGCAGCGCTGCTTGAAAAGGAATCTCATGAAACACAAATGAACTCTGCTGACGGTCTTTGTTAAGCTTTAATGCTTTTTTCTGTTCACAGAGTCAATAAAACGGGATCAGATGTTCTTTTACAGACACACGCTGGAAAATGTCTAATGAAAGGCTGCAGAGTGATGCTCAGACTGTGATCTATGAAGCCTGTGAAGCAGTTTGTGGGCGTTTCCATTCCTGAACCTCGACAACGACGGCGAGAAGCAGAACAAACTCAAACACGTCTCTTTTGCAACGCTACATGTTCCTGTAACGCTTTGAATGCTTATTTTACAATAAATGAAACTAGAACCTGGAGTGAACACGTTCAACATTTCTCAGAGTGGTGTTCCTACATATTACATCTATCTGTAATTTATTTCATGCTTTCCTTCTACCTGCTCTGTGTAAATACAGCCTAAACTTGGATTTTTACCACCGTTGGCCACACTGAGTCACAAACAGCTTCACGGCTGCACCGAGGAATTACATTTTCTTTTTTTATTTTCTTTACAGAATTTGGTTAATTCAAACAGTTTGTTTTTGTCAAACAACACAAGCAGGATAAAGTGATACTGAGGAAATGGTAATAATTCTGATTTTAAACTTAGATTTGGTTGTTTTTTCCTGACAGAACCAGAAGGCACATATGATTATTCACTACAATACTCTGACAAACGGTGCAGCTGAGGCGATTTCATAGAAGTTAGCACGCCTTTCAAACCTGTGGGCTAGTTTTGGGGCTCAGAGGGTTGATAAGCCCTCGGTAGGAAAATAAAGTGTGTTGATATGAAGCTGTGCCGTCACATCACAGCTAACTGGTCCTTCATGTAGACGGTAGCTCTGAGCTGCTCTCACTGCCACTGTAAGGACCATTTTCTGGCCCAGAAGTCCTTCGTCCAAAAGGAAACACTAGGAAGCTGTTCCAGGACCTACTTTAGGCGGAGCAAGCAGGGTGCCCAGCAGACGAGAGCGTAGGCTGGAGGAGCTGATCTTCTCCTCCTCTGTCTCGGTGTGGTGAGCATCTTTCAGCAGCTGGATCTCGTGGAGGACCAGAACTGGAAGGCCCTGGTTCAGAAAGCAGACAACAACAAGGTCAGGCTCACTGGCTTCTGGACCACGAATAAAATGTGCACTAGAGATGTTTTCTGTGCTTTCTTTACACTGTAAACCTGTTTGTCTTTTCAGAAAGTGACCTTAAAGAAAAGTTAAACGATGGATGAGAAGCAGTGTTTAGATGAACTGTAGCCAGACTCAGATGAGTTTGGACCAGTTCAGAAGTCTGTTGTGTGGAAACGGCTCATAAAAAAGTACGATTTATGTGTCTAGCTGTTGTTTGTGATGGACACTGCTTACTTATATGTGCTGGAGGGGAGCTGGTAGAAGAACCACATGCTGATCTCTTAAATGACGTACATTTTACATCTCAGAGCTGTACACAAGTTGATATTAAACATGCTGCTAATTTGCTGACGTACGTTCTCCTGCCGTTTCTTATTGACGGCCTCGCCTCCCTTTCGAGTCTCCTCGCTAACCACAATGCACTCCAGCTGCGGGTCAACTATGGACACTCCGTAGGGGTCGTCCAGAGGCACGATCTCCACCTGTAGAGACGGTTTGGTGTCTTGTAGGAACTCCTGTAGTCTCTGGACGCGCAGAGCGTAGGGCTCGATCAGCTCCTTCAGCACTTTCTCTAAAACCAGGAAGACAAAGGTGTCAGAGGCTGGTTCCAGATGGATGTTAGTCTGATAAATGTCAGTACTAAAACTGAGCAACTCACTTTTAAGCATCGCTTGGTCACACACACCAATGAGGAACCTTCTACTGGCCAGCAGGCACGAGATATTGAGCAGCGTCTTGTGGGCCCCATGGAGCCGGTCAAATGTCCCTCCTACTACCACATCGCTGTAGGTCTCCAAAGGTTCTGTCTTTTCCTCAGGCTCTTTCAGCTCGTCCTCCTTCTCCTGCAGCCTGGTTAGCTGTGGCTGAAGCAGCACTGAAGGCAGGCTGGGGCTGCAGACGTAGCAGTGGCCGGCGTATCTCTGGAGACACTGCGTGACCTGAAGGGACTGACCTGGGTCCTGCACAGCAAAGTCTGTTAGCACCACCTCCGGGGAGTGAGACAGAGACTGTGGAGTGGGGAAGGGGCTGTTCGGAGTCGTGGTCCCGCTGCAGGCAGCTGACTGAGCGCGTACATTAGTCAGAAGAACACGAACGTCCAGGTGGCCGCATACATCCGCTGCGTTGCTGTAAAGGCGGGTAATGAGCGTAGACAGGTCCACTACCGGGGGAATGAAAACTGGTCGAGGCTGGCTCCCACCTCCCAGGTTCAGCCCCGGGTGGAGGTGGACATACAGCGTACGCTCCACCAGCTGAGCGGCTGAGCTGAGCACCGGAGCGATGCGCAGGGGAAGGGTGTGGAGAGGAGACGTCAGCACAAGGATGCCCGTGCTGAACATGGACATGGTGCTCGCTGATCTCACAGGGACTCAGAACACAGAGCAGTGCTGTCAGGGGGTGGCTAAACCCTGGACGGGACGGGAAACAAGAGACAGTCAGAAACAGAAGCAGCTGAGGCTGCTCAAGCTGTGGTGAACGTTATGCTGATGGCATAACACTGTCAACAGCCTGCAGGCAACACAGGCAGGAGGCTGGCAAAGACAGACCAATAATAATACTGAATGGTTGCATGTCTATCATTGTATTAGCGATTCTAATTCTTCACAATAATAATAACTAATAAAAACATTACTGAGCACTTCCTCCTTGAAACTGCAAAGTACTAATGACGGTCTCAAAAACCCAGACTCAGACTTCAAGGTTTAATCCGTAACAAACCCACAGAACCAATCCTGCATCATTCTTCTTTCTCAGGATCAGTTTCAGGTTTGAACACGTATGTCTGAATTACTCCAGCATGACAACATGCCATGATGTAGCGGAGCAGCTTCACAGTGCCTGAGCAGTCGTAGGTGGGGATGGAGGAGGGGATCTAATAGATGCACACAGTCAAGGTCACACCAAGGTCATTTCAGGCAGAATGGGATTATTGTCAAGGAAAAAACTCTAAATAAGTTTGATGCACAGAGATGAGTTTTTAGGGCTTTAAGAATATTATCAGCGCTGTGGCAACAGGTCTGCATCCTGCTGACGGGGCTTTTAGACGCTATTGATTGTTTACAGCTAAACCTGAGCGGTCAGAGAACGTCTAGATTACAGATAATCTTATCACCATCCTCACTGCGTCTCTCGGTTATGTTTACGTGATGCACTGAGCTGTAAGAATGGAATGATTTACCAGCTCTACCAACAGTACTGCTATTCACCAACAGCCCTTGTGCTGATGTTTAACTCGTTCATTATGGTGTAACGAGGACGATGGCTGAACAGTTCACTGATTTCAACCTGAAATCACAATTTGAAAAAAATCCAATTAATAAATGGCAACACATTCTACACAACACGTCTCAGCCTAAATTAGTTTAATTATTACTTTAATCAGCTTAATTGCAGAACATGTCATATGTACACATTGCTCTGGAGCCATGAATGATCGACATCTTCTACTATCATGTGTGGTTCACACACAGGTCAATTATTTTATTATTTTATGCTGATTACTTTATCTATTAACCCAACACGCTCACAGCTCTCTGACTCCTGCTGTACTGCTTGATGTCCTTTAAAGAAGGAACAAATACACGTTGGAACCAGTTTATATCTTTACATTTATTTATATATATATATAACTGTTAATTATCTGATGGGGTCTAATGGAGGAGCTGAAGTTTTATAACAGATTATATCTGTTGGACAAATCCCAGTTAGATCAGGTGTCCAGACTGTTCAGGCCTGAGTGACACCAACATGTTCACCTGGTGTCCTCTGTGTCCTTTCATGGTCTGTCAGTCCTCCACAGATGTCCACTAAATGCTCCACAAACTAAACACCATGTGGTGCAAAAGGCTGTGTGTTCTCCTCACCCAGCAGACAGTGGACAGACCTCAGGCTGATCACACTGTTGGTCCCAATCACTGATCGATTACAGAGCAGATGCAGGACTGTGCTGTTCATACCGGGGCTGTGAGCTGCTCAGTGTTTGGCCGATACGTGTTCCTGCGAGCAGCTGCTTGGGTCTGACTTTATGGGCCATGAACACAGAGCTGAGCAGAACTTTGTGTGTGCTCACAGCTAGCTAGCTAAGCAGCGCTACACTGAGATCAGCAGGAAAAGCTCCAGTTCACAGAGAAAGCGCTGAAATAAACCAGAATTCAACCCGTTTCCACATTCTGCCATCGATAAAGGTATTAATTATGACCTTAACGTGTCGCAGCAGTCTGTGTTCTGCTCCAGACTACCTCTGCTGAGGCCCATGCACAGTAAACACACACACCTTTGGCAGTTTAGCAGCAGCTTACCTGCGCTGAGAGGCGCTAAAACGAAGCGCAAAACGGACGAATAGCGCAGTTCAGATCTACAACCGTCCGCATATTTACTGAGGAGGTCGTTTCCCGACTCTCTCCAACGAGGAACTGGCTTATCCAGTCCTCTCCAGCCCAAACAGCGAAGCAGCCACCAGTGGAAGTCACTCACACATGAACTGGCTTGAATGATCACGTGATATGTTACGAGCGCTCTGATTGGTCGAGGCAGCAGCTGAGACGTATGGGACACGTAGTCTAAACTACAACCAGGTGACCACAGGCAGCAGGACGGTATTCTGCTAAATACAGAGGCGGAAAGTACATTTACTCAAGTACTGTACTGAAGAACAATAAGTGTTTATAGTATTTACTACTTCATACGTCAACTTTCCTGCATGTCAGAGGGAAACTCTGCTTTTTATGGGATCCTTTCCAGTGACACTTCATCTGTACTCATTTGAACCTTTTTACATCAATTATTGGTGAAAGCAGAAAAATTTGGCACCCGGTGAAAATAAAATTGAAAATACTGCTTTTAAATATTTGTTCTCCTGTAGATCAGCTCATTTAATATTATCCATGTTGTGTCCAAAAACATATAGGCATGAATCTAGATATATAATAAGACTCCAAAATGTTTGATATAATTCTTTTATCAGCTGATTCTTTATAATGCTCTAGTAAACATTTATGTGAAATTTATGGCAGTTTTGTCATTTTTACCACACTTCACGGGCAAAGCGATGGCCTCATTAGTTACCCTCACACAGGAACACCCAAACCCTTTATAAATATATATATAAACTCTTCATATTAAATCTCCTGAACCCAGAATCAGTTATGTTGACATCATTATTTAACTGCAGAAAACATTGAAATAATATTAAGCTTTAAATTTTAGCCCCTGGCAGCCATCTCGAGTATTTATATCCAGCATGACAAGTCTACACGACCCTAAATCTCCTGACAAACTATGCATCCATTGATAAAAAATCAGCAGAGAATAAGACAACCAGTGGTTTCAGAGTCACACTCCTTGATTGATGGACTACCATCCCATCCTCTTTTGTGCCTTGTTTGGGGAAGTAACATCCTCAAATGTACATGTTCAACCAATTCACCTCAGTGATAAATTAATCAATTTAAATTAATTTATGAAACCCTGGACTCAGTAGAAAATGTCTGTTCATCTTCTAAAGTCTCTGTGCAGTGATAAGTACAGTTATCTATCATACATCTTTTCAGATAACGAAAAGAAAACACGGAAGTGCCACAGTCTGCAGTTCCTAGAATGTCCACTGGAGGCAGGCTCCAAATGTGAGTGGAGCCCATCTTAAAATTCAAAACCTAACAGCAGAAATATACGTTTACGGCCCAGTCCAAAGAACAGTTTTCATCTTAATAGTGTATTTCTCTTTTCATTACAACTGTATGGGAGTAAATTCTTATGTAACTCACCCATTTAAATTATATTAAGGCTAAAAACCCTGCAATAACTAATGCATTAATTAATCACGTATGCACATGGGTACCTTCACAGGCCAGTCCATGACCAGGACATATTTGTGACAGCAGGAACCACCACACTGAGCTTCATAACTTCTCTGTAGGGAACCTATGGGTGACGTTTTGTAGGGTTTGTCTGTCTTTTTATATGATCTGTGCTCTAACATGGATAAGTGGTAAAATCAGTGAGGTTAATTGAAAACACCTGTAAGTATGTACAAAGCCTTTAAGAAAGGATGTCAAAGATGATTCTGCTCTCTGCAGACCTGACTCCCTCAGACAGGTTGTAAAGCCTCAGATTACTAAACCTGGTTTTTATCCTTGAAAAGGAAAAAATTGAAGTCCTTGTTTGAGGTACTGGGATATGCCCTGAGCCCCCTGTGTTGTCCAGAGTTTAATGCTGACATTTTGGCATTAGTCTGGATTTTTTTTTGGTTCTTTGAAGCTGCTTTAAAACTCATCTGTAGTTTTTGCTGGAGCAACAACTCCTTAAGCCATGAAGTCTGCCAGCGTTCAGGTTTATCGACAGTCATCTGGATGAGGATCAAAGCATTTTAGGGTGAATCTCATTTGCAAACTCATTTCACATACAAATGGCTGCCTTTAAAAAAACACAATGAAAGAATGCTGTTCTCGGTTGCAGAGAAATCATTACCCTCTGTAGATGTAGTAACGTAAACTACTTGTATATCATGAAATACTACAAAGAAGAAGACCTAAAGTCAGTCTGAGGATTGTGACTGCTAAAGACATGTAGTCAGAGGATATGGCTTCTAGTATTAAATGGGGATTTATTATTTGAATGCTAAAATGTATTAAATGATTCTTTGCTGAAACTGTTCATGCATCTAAAAGCTATTTTAGAGATGCTTCATTTTCATAGCAGGCACACTATTATCACTGTGTGACACAAACAAGTAAACAAATACCAAATTAATGTTTTACTTCAGGCCAAAGACACTTCATAAATATATTTAATAAAACAAGAGAATTTGTGGCAAGTACAAAGACTGAGGCAAACAATTATTCTTGCAGAAGATTTTTTTTAATTTTTAGTTTATAGTTTGAGGCCAACAATTTGTTTTTACAAAAATAATAAAAAGAAATGAAGTGTTATCTCCATACTGTAGAAAGAGTTGCATGATGAAGCCCTGGGGTTAGCTGGGCAGAGGCATTGCATAAGTAGCAAAAAAGGATATCAACACAAGTAAAAACAACAGATTCAAGTAAAAAGTCATGTAATCATAATGAAGTCACATTAAAGCCTGGTGGCAATTCTTGGAAAGTAAGACTCTTGTTGGGTTTTTGACTTTTGGTCAGAGGAATCGAACTGAACCACGGGACCTCTAGTGAACGGTGCAGCTCTTTTCAGGACACCTGACAGCAAAGTGCTCAGTAAGACAGAACTACACTCACCGGTCCCTATTAGGTACACCTGTGAAGTCCTAATGATGTGCCCGCATCGTGTAAGTGACTGGACATGATATCAGGAACACTTTTAAATGAAATGCAGCCCAGTACACCATCACCGCCCACTACGACTTCAATAATAAACATCAAGTAGAATCATCACTTTATTGACAACAAAAACTGAAACTGTAGAAGCTTCGTAAGAAAAGAAATCATGACAGCAACGTTGCATAGGACTACATTCACAGGTGTAGCTAATAGAGCTGCTCTAGAAATACAAGCTGGTACAGAAATGTGAGAAGTCGTAGTCAAAGTATGAAATTGTTGATGGTGAGCCTGCAGCACCAGGCATGACATCTTCAGTGGATATACGCTGATGAACACGGACAGACGGCTTCTGTTCAGTTCAACTCCCCTGCTCCACGTAAAGCCTGCTCACATGTATTAATTTACTTTCTTATCGCTGGTGCTATCACTGGCAGCCGTGTCGTAATGGCACTTCTCCACGCATCGCCGTGGAAACCATCCCCTTATACGCTCTCCGGCTAAAAGTCAAAACAGAGAGAAGACAGTTACACATTTCTTAGCTTGAATTTGAAAACCGAGCAGCAGAAGCATCTCATCTCACCTCTCATTTGCTCCTCGCTCAAAACTTTGTCTCCATACATCCACCACCTAAAGCCAAAAACATGAACACAGCTTCAGGCTCACGCGTCACATGAAAGCCTGAGTCGGCGTTTCTGTGGAGATAAACGTACTTGGTGCCGCGAGTGGCCAGAATGGTGTCCCCCTTGCTGAGGGGGATCCTGGGCTCCTCGGTGCAGGGGGTTCTGAAGAACGTTTGGAGACCCTTGTTGAGAGGGCAGCAAGCTCCATTATATTCCTCCACTGCCCGGTACTGGACCTGCTGGTCAAAGCAAACAAGACGTCTGGTTATTCTACTGCTCTGAGCATTAGTCCACACCAGACTCTTACATGTGTGTAAAGGCTCTAACATGTCATACAGTCTTCAATATATAATCTACTGCACAAGTCAGCCAGCTATCATATAGGCAGATGTAGTGGGACCTGAAGAGATGACTAGAACTGTGGTCCACTGTGTCTATGTGTCTAGTTTCTCATTCACAAATGTCACATTTGGATTTAGTTCTGGTCAAACTAAATTTATGCTGCAAGGTTTCAGCTGCAGCAACAACCTGCTGTCACATCAGACCTCAGAAGGATGGTAATCACTACACATGGGGAGTACTGACAAATGCATGAACTATACGATGTTATATCTCACAAACACATACGTCTAACACAACACACCCAGTCCAGCCTGAAACCTAACTCATAGATCAACACAGCACAGGTGGAACAATAGGGATCTGGCAGGTACTTACACTTCGAACTCGTTTATCAGCTTTCTGCTTCAGCTGCTCAATCTGGTGAAAAAGAGGCAGCATAACTGAAGTCACTGCTGTTTAAGGGCGTGACTTTAATCTCAGTGTTTAACATGAACTGTAGAAGAGCAGAGTTGTGATGGCATCATGTGGACTACAGCATCAAACCGTATTCATTATCTGACCCAGTAAGACGTGTCAGAAGAGGTAAACAGGTGAAACAAAAGCAGCAACAAACATATGAAACAACTGCAGAGTTAAACTGAACCTACAGTTAAGGTGTACTGGTGACACTTGGGATGGACTGGCCATTCAAGGCCGTCTCCTTTGGGTGTCCCTGACCATGTAAAGACTTGCTTGAAATTCAGCCAGCGGCTGCCGAGGTCGTACGGGAAGATAAAGTCCTCCCCTGTTTGGTAGTGCTGTATTCTGTCTTTGGCCTGGTGGAAAACACAAGAGAAACTCAAGCACGTCTGTGGCGCAATCGTCCTACATGTTGGACTTAGAGATGGTTCTGGAGCTTCTTCACATCGGTCCTATAGTGTCATTGTAAACATACAGAACTATGACAACCAAATATTACAAACACATCAATTATAAATCCTTTAACTCTGTGTCAGTTCTAAAGCATTTTGGAATCCTAGATTATTGTCCAACAATTTAAAAAACAGTAAAATTCCTTCATTTTAAATCACGTTAACATCACAACATTTCATCACAAAACAAAAATCAAAGAGACATTCTGACCTTTTCCTCGATCCAGGACTCGATCGAAGTCTTATTTCGAAGGATGACTTTCATCTGAAAGAACAGACGACTTCATTAACAGAGTCTATGGGTCAGCTTATAATTTCTTAATCAATAACTGAATTATTGCATCACTGATTGCTCCTGGACACACTGATAATGTTCCAGGTTCAGATGTTTGAAATGTTTTGTTTCCTCTTTTTTCTGGGAAGTCTCAGTAACCATTGGGTTAAAGCCACGATCAATTCAATCAGTTTGTGAATTTGTGTTTTCTCTGAGTGTACAAATCACTGTTTCCTATTATTGTTCTATGTTCTGTCTTTATTAACTTCATGTCGTATTTGCGTTTATTTGATTTCTTTGCTAATGTGTTTTCAAATAAATCAGGAGAAATATAGATGTAGGTGAGAAGCATGAATGCATTTTTACATGGAACACGCCTCCTCACAGTAACGCCTGCCTTCGGGCCATAATGTGCTGGTTTTCACTAGAACAGGGGCGTCCAATCCTGGTCCTGGAGGGCCACAGTCCTGCATGTTTTAGATGTGTCCCTCTTCCAACACAGCTGATTCAAATGATCAGGATGGTTATCAGGCTTCTGCAGAGCTTGATGATGAGCTGATCATTTGGATCAGAGGGAAACATCTAGAACATGCGGGACTGTGGCCCTCCAGGACCAGGACTGGACACCCCAGCACTAGAAGCTTCTTGTGTAAACTCTGAACCCTAAATGCAAACCGTATGAAAAGCTTACCTGTATGAAGAAAAGCATACCAACTGCAATAGTGGTGCCCAGTGCCAAGCCTAAGGCAAAGAGTGTGGCAGCGAAGGCGGGCACACTGAAGGGCATGAGAGGCTGGACCTGACGTACAGCGCTCATGTCAATCTTTACAGTACTCCAGCCGAATGATATCTGCGGCGAGGACAGAGAGCAGAGTTTGATAAGCATGATGAGGCCTTCGACCTCAGCTGTGATAAAGAGTGGCCAGAAGCACGGTGCGGCGCAGAGACTACTCACTCTCTCATACAGTTGTGTGTACATGGTCATGATGAAGATAATGGCAGCGTGGGAGCAGCCCAGCGGCGCCAGCAGCAGGAAGCTGGTGAAGTAGGCGTGGTTCGTGTGGCCGCAGCAGTTGTTGATCCAGGGACAGTGGTGGTCCATCTTCATCACACACCTGAGGGAGGGGAGGCAGAGGAGGAGAGGAGTGCTGGGGGAATTGACTGGCCATTTGGGAGGACATAAAGCGACAGGTTCATCAGCAAACCACGGTGCATCTTATTGAAACGAAACAATGAAGATCTTCTGAGTGTCAAAGCTCATTGTTTCATTATAGAACTGTGACAACACAGACAAGGAGACACACAACATGTTCCATTACTACTGAGGTCATGGTGTGAGGCTGCACAGAGACCTGCAGGAGCACAAACAACCTGCACCTCACATGTCTGCTGAGGAACAGGAGGGAACGTACTGTCACAATCACAATCACAAACACTTTATTGATCCCCTCGGGGAACTGCTTTTAGTTGCAGATGATCCCAATCAAAGTCTTAAAGAAGCAGAAGTAAAGAAATATAATCAAATCAAAAGTATTAATATGAAAATAAAATAAAAATAAAATATAACACAAAATAAATACACATTCTTGCTGTTATAAGTGTATATAAAATGTAATAATAATAATAGCACTACTTGTGTTATTGCACATAGAATGATAACTGCACAATATTAAACAGTCCAAGTCCACGTAAACCTTTCACTCAGAGAGTCTGACCCTCAGAGTGAACAGCTGTACAGTCTGATGGACACAAGCAGGAAGGAGTTTTCTGATCCAGCTCTAGTTTACTGTGCTGGCGGCAGCTCAGCGATCGCGCTGCTCGAGTACCTCATCTCTGAACTCTTTCCTTTCTTTACAAGTCCATCTGACACAGGAGGGAGAACACCTGCTCTCGCTTTGGTAGTTGTAATTACCTGTTACACTTTCGACAGTGATGGGATCTGGGGGACTTGTACCCTTGGCACACTCTGCAGTACTGTAGGAACTGGGCATCCTGATGATTTTCCTGTTTCAGGATAAAAAAAATAAAATAAAACAAGATGTAAATGAACAACAATGGCAATAAGAATGTCATTAGATCTTTTGCAGAGGTAGTCCCAAACTGTTCAACTCTATTTCAGCAAACACCAGCAAATAAAGAGTTACAGGGCTTGATTCTTACTGGTTTCCAGCCCAGAGGAATGTATCCAGGTCCAACAAACATGGCATTGAAGTAGTTGTAGAGGATGAGGACAGTCCAGTTGATGAGCATGATAAAGTTTATGCTGCCTCCTGTAGTGTCAAGCGGCCAGTACCAGATGATGGAGTCCAGAATGGCCATAGTGGAGCATATAGCAATGACGGACAGGGCTATCACTGGACCCCAGTGGCACAATCTCCGGACCTCATGGAGGTTCTCAAACGTCACAAAGGTTGACAGGAAGTTCATTTTTCCACTGCAAGGTTCGTACTAGTATTTTGGCTGCTGAGTTCCTGAAATGTAGTGACAAAGCTTCAGAGTGTTACTTCTCTCCTCTGCTATCTGGCAAAGTCAGCGGTGCAGACGACGCACATGTTTCTTCTCGTCTTCTGAGGACCCAGCAACTGGCCTGGTCTGGAGTCACTGGGGCTTTCTGTGTCCCATTGTTCTTCGCCCTGGCAAAGAGCAGCATCCTCTCCTGCCAGTCGCTGAACACGCTATCCTTGTGACAGACTCAAATTCCCCATCTATGACAGAAAGAGAGAGTTGGTGTTAAAACAGTGCTGCGACATTTTAGGACACAAGTCTCACTCTCTATTTTAAGCGCTGCTATTATCTGTGTCAGCTGTCACACTACTGTACATCCTGTGTTTTTATATTGTTTTAGCATCAACACTGCAATGTGTGGATGAACAACAGTCACATGGCAGGAGCAGTGATGTGCAGGAAGGCAAGTTACCTCAAACAGATCACAACCTTTTCTTTGCAGCTTCATACAGACAGAAAACTTGCACGGTTCTCATTTTTTCTTGACTAATCTACAAAAAACCTGTTTGATGGGACGTTATTTCCTGTGATTGAAGGGTTCTTGGATTCACTGCTTTTGTTTTTGTACTTTACGTACAAGACTTGGGTTTTGTTGTTGTGCAGTCTCCACAGTGTGCTCAGAAAACAGGTGAGGAACAGCAGAGACGCTACAGAGGAAACAACTGGCTGGAAAAAGAAAAGCAAAGTCGTCTGTAGGGAAATATTTCAACAACAGAACGGACGATGTTGAACAAAAACAGACACTCTGTCGGCAGTGTGGTGTTGCCACTAAACAAGGAAACGTGACTAATTAGTTTGATTATTCAAACTGGCATAACAAAGCCAGATCTGAACGCCATCCAAAGCAAAAAACCTATTTCGTCTGCCTTCGCCTTACACCATGTTGAAGGCTCCAAACGATTCACACCCACAAAAAAATAAAAAATAAAAAATCTCAACAGAAAAAAAAATTATCTTTCAGCTTTTTCAGAAATTCGTGTTTTGCTATCTACACAGATGTGGGCTTTTGGACGGGACACAGAGGTGTGACGGTACCAGGTTGGGGGAGTCAGCTGCGACAGATTAAAGCCTCATTTGGCTTCTTATTGCTTCACATATTTGAGTTTATGTGAAGAGTGACAGAAGGCTTTATAGGAGCTATGCCCCTTATTTCTAGGAGATGCTGAGAACCTTTCAATGTACTCTTGTACATATTGCAGAGAAACAACACATCACATGCTCAGGTATTACTAACGTCCCTAAACACCCCACAGCACGAAGCACACACACCTAAACACTGCCATGAGTAATGCATTTTGAAGGTTAGAAAGTTCACATTTTGTAGGCACAGTTTTACAAATGCTCATTTAACTCTGTCATTTTTAATTTAGTGGTTTTATATTGCTGTAGCAGCTTACATTTACCCCATTTGAGTGAACATAGTAACGCGTTTTATGTTGTATTTCGACATCTCTTATCTCTACAGCAACATGTTCTTTGTGCTTATCACTGCCATATTGAAATATTGATTAGGAAATTCAAAAGCATCTATTTTAAACAAGTACTTATTTAGCTAAAGGCTTAAAAGCAAGCACAGTAAGAGCTATAAAACACAACACTCCAATGTGGATAGTCCAACACGTCTCGTCCAGTGACCTGCTGAATACAGAGACACTGCGTTACCTTAACAGTGACTAACTAATTAGCTTCTGTTACCCAGCTAGCTAATTCGCACGACCATAAAAAACCCATTGTGACATTATATGAAAGCTTTCTGCCCAGTGGATGCACAGGTCAGACACATGTAGCCATTCTGCCTTCTCGATAATTACAAAAGTGGTTTACGTCCAGCTTTAGCTAAAAATACATGTTTGGCTTTAGCGCCGTGGGCAGAGCAGTTAGCAAACTACCGCCTGTGAGCTAGCATGTCCGCCAGCATCAACAACACCAACGTTTCAGGCGGCGGCCACAATGTACAAAGAGGAAACACCGACACAAAGACATAATAAACGCGTTCTGGTACACGCAAATGCACAGTTTTTATGAATAGAGAAAAAGGCTGTCACTTTAAATAACAAACCTGGCCACTTCCTCGATTTTTTTCCTTCGATTTTTCCTGTATACAGGGAGGAACCTTCCTCGTGGTGTCTCACAAATTATTACCCTCGACCGCTTGTGGCCCAAACAGTTTATTAGTCACTTGCCACATAGCGTAAAAAATATATTTATGTATTCCCCTTCGCCAGAGATGAAAGTGAATGATATTTTCTACCTACTTACCGAACCCACTTCCGTGTCGGAAAAATAAAAATAAAGTCCAGTTCCTTGCCGGGCGCATTACACTGCGACTCAGGAAGGAACTCCATCCGAGGCTTGTTGTTATTATTCTCAGCTAACTGTCAAGCAGACATCCAGTTACCTGCGTTAAACTTAACCGTCAAAATGTCTTCAGACTTTGAGGCTTACGAGCAGGACTTTGGGACTATTACAGCAGACGTAACCAACAAGATCGGCAGAATTCCCAAGTTAAGTGGAGGTAAGACAGCTACATGTATTAGCTGGAGTCGGTGAGATGGCTAACTAGCTATTAGCTAGCCACTAAGTCAGCTGAGAAGGGGAGCTAACGGTAGCAAGTGAAGCCTACTGGTTGTGTAATTTCATTAATTTAACATGTTATCTGCTGGGGAAATATTTGTCACACTTCACTGGAACTGGTCCAGAGTTCTTGCTATATGAAGGAACACATGTGTTAGTGGCCGACCTGTTAGCTTGGTATGTGTTTGATGGTTCAGCCACTGGAGACATGTGTAACACGAGCTGAGTGTCAAATAACATCTTATGTTTTTTTCCTGATTGATAAGAAGATCATCCAGGTTACTAACTGTATTGGTTTCATTCTGAAGAGAACATAAGCTTCTAGTCACTTTGATAAGAAGGTAAATATGAACTAAAACCAATGAAATACATGGATAGGAAGTAAAGTTTTATCTCAGGGCATTTCTGTTGCTCGTATATCAGAGTGTTGTGATGAAATCAAACAGTTTGTCATTAACTCTCGTTATTTGAGTAAACTGATTTTGGAATAACCGTGACAGCTCAGCGGCTTTCTGTGTTTCTTACACACTAAATGCTAGAATAGGTATAAATGTAGGGCTTCACGATATATAGAAAAAACAGATATTGGAATATTTACTTCTTCTGCTATACATATACTGTGATCTAAAAAATACTGGAATCAATTTGGAAAGAAAAATATTACTCTAGGATAATGAGGGGATTTTCTATGTGGTGCACTGGTAAAGCTAATTAATAATAATTAAGATAAAAAAACGTCTGTCGACTGTGTAAAAGTATCTGAAATGCTTTGAGTGGTGTTCAGGTCTGGCTTCAGACTCATGCAGAGCCTTGTGGTGCTGATTTAATCTGTCAAACAAATCAAGGTGATGCCTCCAGTAGTGGCTACGATTACAAGCCACTGCTGACAGACATCCTGTTTGTGGTCAACGTCAGTCTTTGCATGTCTTTTTGCAGCCAGATCTTCCTTTCCAATGTTTCTCTCCTGTTCCTCTCTTGTTTTGCTGTGCATATATGGAGCCTGCTTGTCAAGAAAGTTAAAAAAAATAAAGTCTGTGTATCAAAGAACCTTTAAACTGGAGCAAATCACATGGGATGCACTTGTAGGCTGGACATGGGAAATTAGAACTGAGCTTTCCTGTTTTATCAAGCAGCAAAAAAAGCTGCAGCAGGATGAGTTTGAGTTAATTTGCCCTCTTGAACATCAACGCTGAAACAATATGTTGTGCAGCCTTAGATCCAACCCATCTGTGTAAAAAGATCCATGACAGTCCAATCCTGTATAAAAACCACCAACGTTTCCAAGTGTTGGTTTGTAGGATTTGTTTGAACAGAGATTTTTTCCCCTTGTAGTTTAAACATTTATTGCACTCATGCAGACAGTTCTGGAGTCGTATGGATGTGGAGCAGGGGTGCCCAATCCTGGTCCTGGAGGGCCACAGTCCTGCATGTTCTAGATGTTTCCCTCTTCCAACACACCTGATTCACATGATCAGGATCATTATCAGGCTTCTGCAGAGCTTGATGATGAGCTGATCATTTGAATCAGAGGGAAACATCTAAACCATGCAGGACTGTGGCCCTCCAGGACCAGGACTGGACACCCCTGATGTGGAACATTGCAGCTTGCATTGCATACAGTCAGTGTGTTCAGTCTCTAAATTATTTTTCTTAGTTTCTGTAGAGTGCAGGCAAATCAGGAATGTTTTTAATTTGTCAAGCTTGAAGGCATACATTTCCTAATTACATTTCAAGAAACACACCAATAAGTCTTATTTAGATCTGTAATGTTTGTTTATCACATTTACACGTAAGTCCCTTAAAGAACGACGTTTAACGATAAGACGCTTTCAGGAAGTTTGACAACAGTTAAGTCCTGCTCAGAACACATTTGTTCACAGAAGCAGTGAATCCAGTAAATGTTTTGGTGTAAAGCGTTACAGAATTCAACATTTGGAAAACCAGCGTAAGACAAATCCTTCATGTCAATCAGGAAACACAAATTATTGCAGATTTGTATAGTGGAGGCAGTAGAGGTTCAAGATTTGTGGAAAATATGAAATTCAGACTTTTTTCTGACGGATGTAGCATTTTGATTTCCGATTGTAATATTTTAAAGAGCTTCAGATCAGTACTACTGTGTCATTGGTTTAAACCGTGATGAAGTATTACCCCGTGAGACACTATTAAAGACAACAAGTTGTGTGAGGCGTTGCTGTTAAACACGATGTCAGCAGAACCACAGCATGCGGGCCTGAACCACACAGCGTCCACTGATCAGTGAACAAGCATGAGTAAGCCCTGGAAGTGTGACTCTACTCCAAAGTACATACAACAGAAGCACAGCGTCAGTCTCCTGATTTAACAGACACACGTTGTATATTCTAGATTGCAGCAGATTTACTAATTGCATTGTTTCAAGTTACAATTTACATTCGATTACTCATCCAACCGTGAGAGGGCTGCAGAGCGGATGGGACGCCGTTGCTTCTATGCTCTGAGGACCTTCATGTCCATCCATCCATTTTGTCTACACCATCCTCTGTAGGGCTGGAGCCTGTCCCAGCTGACTTAGGATGAAGGCAGAGCGCCCGGTCTGAACCCACCAAGGCTCAGGGAGAACATGCAAACTCTAAACAGGGCGAGATGGGAACCAGGGGCCTTCTAGCTGTGAGGCGACGGCGCTAACCACCGTCGCACCATGTGTCTCAGCAATGCTTCTGCTCGTTTGCATGTTGGATCATTCCCACTAAAGTCATTACAGCTTCAGAACCGTTTCTCCTCAACCATCTCAGATAGGCCCAACATGCTTATCGCTTAATAAACGGATACTTATAGGAACACTTGGTGCCTAATATATCAAATACTTTACAAGATAATTAAAGGAAAAAAAAGCCTATTAACCCATTTTCAGCACAGTTTTCATGCTTTGAAATGTAAGGCTATGTTTGAACAATCATATCTCAGGCACTGCTAGAGACAAAACCTTTTTTCATCTCACCCGTAGTCAGAGACGACCTGATTTACTTCAATACTGCAGCTTCTCAGTTAATGAGAAATAATAGGTGATGTCATCCACGTACAGCTGATGTGGGTCGATGTCATTTTAAATACCTATAACAGCTCGTTATCAGAACGTTTTGAGGAAGCCAGAGCTGGTGGAGCAGAAGGCCCCTTTGGGTTGATATGGACAAACCCTCCTGTCTTTATCTGTGTTTAGGTTCTGGTGGGTTTATTTCATGCTATACAGCTGTCAGACAACAAGCATCACCACTGGGTCACCATAGTGCCGGTACCACTCAGCTGAACACGTGGTCTGTCTGTTCTCATGAGTTAAAACCTGTCGATGTGAGCACAGCTTAGAGGCTGTTCATGCACAGACCACCTCATAGGTTCCTGCATGTCAGTGTTGGACATTAACGTGGTCATCGAGTCTGCCTTTTTCAAATCACTTTAAAGTCTAAACGGAGACAGCGAGCCAGTCTGAACAGCGTCTACTTCTATCTAACACTCAGGTTTCAGATTCATCCGGCGTTTAGCAAATGCTTTTTGATTAATGGGAATTGCATAAAGCCAAAAGTACATCTATGAATACTGTGTGCATGAGAGAAAGTGTAATAAAAGAAGCTATACTGACTGCTCAACTAGTTCACTGCTGCTACAGCTGAATAGTTTGTTCTGAGTTGTGTCTGCCTCCAGCCCAGCTCTGAGCATTTATCTCCTCCTCTGGGCTCACTCTTGCTCATTGGCTTTTCAAAGGCCACTGTGTCTCACAAAACCTTGCCTGACTGAATATTTCTGGTTTGGAATTGGCATCTTTGAAGATTCATGGCAACCCAGTCCACAGAGTAATTTCACATTGCTTCCTCTCGCCATCTGTTGACTGTGTCAGCGCGAGCCCATATGAATATGTACAAAGCTAGAAAAGGCATTACAACCATAAGTGGCTGCTCCATGTTTTCTGCCACCAACGGAACAGTTTACGGTTGAATTTCAATTCCCTCCCCGCTCATTAAGCTTTCTCTTGTTTACTTCTTTACATTGACTTTCTTAAATCCTTGTTTCGACGACGTGGCTGCATTACGCTGACGGTGTGACATTTAATATTCTAATACAGCTCCAGACGATAGCTTTTGACATTTTTGTTGTTGTATCTCTAAGTTTTACGTCTTATTTTCTTTTTTTTTAATTTTTTTTTTTTGCTGATGATGTCCAAGGTATGTGAAAGAAAATGTCCTTGACTGCCTCCTTTTAATGAAACAGTCAATGAATGTGTGTTTACATTTATTTGTCGCTATCCTCCGAAATCTGAGCTTCAAGGAATATTTAAATAAGAATCCATGAATGTGATGTTTTCCACCTTTGAGTGTTCATAGCCAGAGATTGCTTGTCAATCACTGCCACTCAGATAGGGAATATTTTTTAAGTTAAGAAAAAAAATCTCCTTACTTCTGTGTACAAAACTCCTCATCCGTCTGTCAGCGCCTTATCGTCTTGGTAAATAACCATACATATTTCACAGCCCTCGAGCTCGGGCCGAGCCTGAGTAAGAAAGCAGCGTCTCACCTTTCACTGAATCGCCTCTGGCTGTTTACTGTGTAGGTTGTGAGGTTGGACACAGGTTTTAAAAATGAATTTGAGGACTGGCAAAAGGTAATGTGGGCCTATGGTGTCCGAGAAATAAAGATCTTGGCCTGGCTTTTTTACGATATTGTAATCCCACAAGCGGCAGCCTTGTGATTTGCTTTGAGTTTGAAGTTTTGTTGACTTTGTATTTCAATTATTAAAGACGCTGTCAATTATTTATCAGGTCAAAGAACAGCTCTGCTTGTGATTCTTAATTTATTTCATTTAAAATGTTTTCAGAGTAAATCTATCATGTCAGTAATTTAGAAGTACAACATTTGAATTGTTCACTTTAAGATGTCTGAATTAGTTTTTGAGAGCACTGATTTTCTAACACACCTTTCTCATGCTTTTGTTTTGTTCGCTTTTTGTCTGCTGATGGTTCTTACCTGTTAAAATTTCAGACGTTTTCAAAACGTCTTTTTCTTGGACATGATCAGATTATATCATGACTGTTACTGAGAGAGGGACGCCACAGCAGGGCTCACGTATTCCCCTGATTAAAACGCTAAATGCACACGAGAGAGTTCAAGCAGGCCTAGAAATGTAGGAGATCTGGGAGCAGCGATGTGGTCAGATGACTCATCCTCACCATATTCTGGGCGAGTGCATCTGTGGCCAAAACTAAAGGTCCCGTATGGTGAAAATCAATCTCTGTTGTGTTTTGTGGTTGTTTGGTGGTGTAATAGAAAGTCTGCTGAGATATGAAGATGTTTGTTGCTGCCGTTCCCTAAACCCCCCATACCTGGTGAGCCTCCCATCTTCACCAGGACGATATCCAGCTCGAGCTTTACTGGGAGTGCTCTCTTTTTGGGATGACAGTGAGATTATGTGAATCATGTGCTGTGACCTTTACACACCAGATGTCAACCCAGTTAAAGACCTATGAGAGATTCTGGACTGACATGTTAGACAGCCCTTTGTTCCACCAGCATCTCGTTCTTTGGTCCAGTAGAGTTCTAGAGATCTGGAGAATCAAGGCCAAGAAGCAACCAGCAGTCGCCCAACATCTGAGAGGCTTTACGATGTCTTCTCCTTGCATTCGTCACATCCGCCTATGACAAAAAATACAAATCTTTGGATTTCATCTTGTACATGTTCACAGAATTACAGCAGTTTTTATTTAGAAATATTGTTCTGTGGCATTTATCCAGGTTGTTTTCTCCTGACCAGATCCTTGCTTGTGTTGTGTCTGCTCTCAGGTGGACGTCGCTTTGGATAAAAGCGTCTGCTGAATGAAACTGTAGAAATATCATCACTCTGCTTTTATTTTACAGTGCTGCTTTTCCTTGTGGCAGAATTAAGCACAAACCACCACATTAAAAAAATAAAAGTAAAGAACACGTAATGTCTGCCGTTTGAAGCTCATCAGCAGGTTCATGAGCGCACGATGCAGGAAAACGAATCATCAGAGTGACCTGGACGGACTGATGATGGTACTGTTAAAAAGGACATTGTGAAATATAAATGGGAAAAACAGCCAAGTGAAATATTTAGAGGGAATATTATGAATTAAAAGAATCTCCAGTCATCTTGCTTTATTGTGAACACAGGCTGGATGAGGAGGGAGTGTGTGTAGATCTCCTAATAAACACACTTAAATATTTACCTGCAACTATTCCTATATATTTTATAGTTTCTAATAATTACGTTTTTACTTTTTCACAGCTTCATATGTGAGAAAAGCAAACACAACCAGCTAATGTGTGATATTTTGACTTGACATTGCTTCAGCACTGACGTGGGTCGGGCTCTATAACTGGACCTGATCCGTAGGCTGTCAGACACGTTGTGTTGTGCGTTTCACACGTTTGGTCTTTTTGTCTCCATTAAAATATGTTAATGATGTTTTTTGAAACCCTGTAATAAGTCTTGATCACTAAACAGTCACAGCTCTACGTTTCACCCAGTTCACTTTCATGGCACAGGATGAGCTTCAGAACAGAGACCGGTTCAGTACGCGTGCAGAACGTGGTAAAGCTGATGCCTTAAATAACTATGGGATGTGCTGTAGTTTACATGTTTCCTTGGAACTCTAAGTCCTAATGAGTTTCAATGGGTAATGTGGAAGAGCAGCCATGGGGTGAGGTGTAGAACAGTGCGTTAGTCATTCTGAGTGGGACTCATACTTCTGGCAAGTGAGCAAAGCTGACACCTCCCTTCCCTTTGAGTTGGCATGAGGTGTCTCGCTGCTCCTCAACAGAACCCAACAAAGGCCTCATAGACGCCAATAACTAAGAGACATCAAATGTTGGCTCGTCGTGTGGAGAGAATGTGTAAATATATCTTCAAATGTGTCCTCGTGTGTTGTTTTCTCCCAGTCTCTTTCTTTCTCTCTCCCCCTCTCTTCCCCCGTTGCGGGGGAGTTAGGTTGTTGTCATGAAGCGCTGTTCCTCCGTCGGCTGATCAATATGTTGCTGTTTTTTTCCCTTTCAGAGGAGAAGACACAGCTGGTTCTAAATGTCGACAAACAGCTTGAAGAAGTCAGAGAGTTGGTATGTCTTTGATCAGTAATTTTCTCCTCTTCCCATTTCCTAAATAATGAATTTGTGCAAAGAGGGAGGGGACAATTTTCACTGGCACCAGACAACAGCACCTGTATTATCCTGGTGCTGACATGACATGCACACACACACACACACACACACACACACACACACACACACACTTCACAGGGCGGGAAGGAGGCTTCCTTCTCACATGATTACTTTCCAGTAATCTGCTTTTAAGTGACACCCCTATGACACATTTCAAGCCATTATCTTGAGGTGGGAGTCTTCATGTCGCTGTTTAGAAATGAGCAAAGTCACCTGACAGAGACAAATTGTTGTTGCAGTTGTCTTGTTATGCCACAGTGATTAGTTTCCTCCCAATCTGCCACACAGAGACCCGTCTACCCATGCATCACATGTGCTTTTACTTCATTCACCGCGACATTGGCGGGCCTGTGCATGTCATCGCAATGAAGGGGCCCTCATATTTGATTGTGTATTTATTTGCAGAACAGCCGTCCTGTGTTGTAGCTTTTATCACATGTGAGTGACGTGAGCAGGACGCGTTTTGTTTTTTCAATCAACACTGGAACACGTTAAACTTAATGCTGCTGAAGTTGCTCTTTTTTGACTTTTCAAAGTTTGATGCTGGCAGATGTTCCAGTTGCTGCTGATGTATGTGGGACCTGTTTATGCAACATTTACAGAAAGATAAAGGAAAAGCAATCATTATAAGATAGGGAGGCCTAGATTCTTATTTTATTTACAGCTGTAAAAATGATCATGTTTAAAACATAGACATTAGCAAGTCAGTACCTTAGCATTAGGCTGTGAAGTGATTTCATCATGAACGCTGAACACGCCTCCAAATTATGTTTAGTTTTGGAACTTGATCCTAAAGTGTTGCTGACAGAACATTTGGATAGTTCTGATGTTAAACTAACTGGATGTGTGTGTTTCAGCTGGAGCAGATGGACCTGGAGGTGCGTGAGATCCCCATCCAGAGCCGAGCCATGTACAACAGCAGACTGAAGAGCTACAAGCAGGAGATGGAGAAGCTCGAGAAAGACTTTGTAAGTCCTCATGAAACCTCCCTAATTGTTATTAAGATATTAGAAATATGGTTTATGAGCACATGTTTTGTTGTGTTTAGCTTCCAGTGTGCACTGTTAGTGGGAGATGATCACAGAAAGTCTTCTTAGAAACACAAACACATGCATGATTAAAAGTTGTCACGATCCCTTGTGGCGTGCACGCGGCATAGTTTACACTCTCAACCAAACTCTTGCTCGCTCACAAACAGTTGTGCTCTGAAGCTCAGTGGTGCATCCACAGAGGTTAATTCGAAGTTCATATTTGAACTTGCAAGCGATGCCCATTGAGAACAGGTTGTGTGTGTTTGTGTTGCTGGCTGCAGAATCTGGCCTTGTTTAGTAATTCATAAATCACTGTAAGTCTTGACTTGATTTCTAGCCTCTATCAAAGCTTAATGAACAGTCCGGTCTTTTGGGTAACGTGCTTTTAGTCCACATTGTTGGCTCCCAGTATTGCTCAAGGTGCTTCACTTAATCAATAGTATTACAGAAATAAGCAATTATCCAGTGAATGAATCGGATGCTTGTGTTTCCCCCTCCCCCCCCTTTGAGTCTTTTCTAATTATTCTTACAAGCTGTAGAAGCATTTTAAATGATAGTTGTATTATAATGTTTACATCCCAGTAATATGCATCTTTAATGCTATGCTGGGCCGGTTGCTGTTGTTTTCTGTTGTGAGTTTAGTTGTGCAGCTGCTCACAACACAATGCTCAGCCCATAGTGTACATGCAGCTGACCTTGAGCTGGAGAGCACGCGTGTGTCCCTCCACAAATCAAACTTGATGCGATTTAAATCCACAGCCGGAGAATGGATGGTTGGAAAAACACACACTGGATTGGATATTTAAGAACTTATAAATTAATTCAGAAAAGGCTGGCCTGGGATGGCCGCTACGTTTAGCCTTGCACCGCAAAGTTTGGCCATGTTTAGATTTTGGCAAAGTAATCAGCAAACTTTTCCAACCTCGACATGACGTAACGGTAGAGTTAGTTTTCCCTCTCAGGTGTTAACTTTTCCCTCCGTTCTATGAAGGGTTACTGGTCAGTGTGCTGGTGTTTGATGGGAAGGACCACAGGGACACCCATCATTAGAGATGCACTGTCCTAGGGCTTGAAGACGTCATCGGAACGTTTTGTGTGTTACAGAATAAAAAGTTCAAACAGTTATTTATATATAAGAACCTAAACATCTGAAATGTTCTTCTAAACATGACGTAGTTTGATGTTGCGCTGAATGATGGTTTACACCCCGTCCGTATCTTCACATTTCATCCCACCACATCCCACGCTGGGGACTGTGGGCGTGCACGCCTACCACTGACAAATACAAATAATCTAAATTAAAATCTGCTCATAGTTCACCCTAATCACTGTCTTAAACATCGCTGAGCATCTGATGTCATTCACCAGCAGAAGATTGAATTAAGTGTGGGAATACGACGACGTTCCCCAAATCTCTCACTTTTCTAAATGTAGAACAAACAAACAAACAAACGTGCACCAACACCCCACTGGATGGAGATATCATGTGCTAGTGATCTGCGAACACACCACTGAGATGTGCTGACTGAGATCACAGAGGAGATCTGTGTGCCAAGACAGTTTGCTTTCCTCACCATGGGCATTTAATTGGCTGACGATTAATCTTTAACTTTTCTTCTCCCCACACTTACCGTGCGTAATCATCAAGCAGCTAGCGCCTGCTGCGCCTGATATTGGTCCTAATTTTCATTACTTGCATTTTTATTCCTGTCTTCGGGGCACATGTGGGAAAATTTGTTTAGTTTTTTTACCCTGGAAAAAGTTCCTTAATCGACTTTACGGTGCTGAGCTTTGTATGCAAAGTGAATACGGTTATTGTAAATACTTGTAAATCCCTGTTTGCGTGACACATAAGCGTGTGTCATGGCCTACGATGCTGAAATGCAAAGCAGAAGGTAGCAGTAGGATAGTCCGAGTGCACGGAGAGTAAAAGGATATCCGCCTGCTTCTGGCTGCGACGCCCCAGTTTGACAGTAATTTTCATTTTTACACCTCTGTGTGTGGTTCGGTCAGATCGGTGTACATTTAAAGCAGGATCACCCACCTCACAGAGTTACATCTAGTATATCTCGTCTCCTGTAAATCTGATGCAAGTGTTCAGAGGGCGAGAACTTCAGCCCCCTCAGATGTGCCTCAGATGTGCCAAATGCTATAGCCGAGCTCAGCCTCTCACTTCCTGCAGGCCCAGGGAGGACATGACACTCGGCTCGAAAGGCGTCTAGTGGAAAAAAGGCAATCTCCTTTCTTTTTAATGTAAAAAGCTCCGGCTTTGTTGTGCTTTCCGTGGATATCAAGGCCTTTCCACTCCCTCACTGCCCGGTCTCCCCCCACCCCCCACTGGCCTCCCACGGGTGTCTCCCCCTTAACCTGCTCTCTCATCCTCTCATTCACCCGTGGTTTGAAGTATTCCTACCACCGGTGTGCCAGCTTGAGACCTCATTCCTGCTCCTTTCCAGACAGGGCCCGAGTCGACCTCGGTAACCCAGCCATTTCATCCAGGAAGACAACTTATCAAACGGGCATCCCAGAGGTGTGTCTGTGAGACGCAGCTTTGTTGGCTTGGCTGACAGCTTCATCGTGATAATAGAGGGGACCGTGGGGGTCTGAGGGCGCTGGGCCACGACAAACAGGCGTTGCAGCAGGCAGAGGGAATGCCATCCCGACCAAACGGGGAGGAAAGAAGTAAGCCAGAGAGTGAAAAAAATTAAAAACGACAGCGAAAATCCTATTTGATGGGGTCGGCTTGTCTGAGTCAGAGGAAGCAGAGTGGCGTGGCTCTTAGCAGCGGCTTTGATCAGGGACAGAGGAGGCCTCACCTAAGCTTAATTTAATGAAATCTATTGGGTAAACAGAGCCACAGTTTTCAAAGGGGCAGGTTCGGTCCGTCCCAGTGGACCAGGTGGGGACCCACTGACATCTCCTGTGCTACACACAACAGCCCAGCTTTGAGGATGTGGCTCACATGATGGACCATGTTAATTGTAATGCCTCTGAGAGGCTGGCATTGTGCAACAGGAGCTGAAATATTTCAAGGATGGTTTTATTCGTCGGGTTTTCCTTGACTTGTTGTGACGTCTGTGGTCGGATGTGTTCATGAAGTCAAACTGAATAGGAATGAATCGAGTCCAGCCCCATTCAGTGTACATTTAATTATCATCATTTAAGTTTGTCCTCAGTGGTGTTAAATAAAAAGTATTTAATGGATCAACAGAATTTAAAGTTTCTCACATTTAAGCAAAACCTTTTCCAGGTTCCTGCTTGTCATGTGTAAGAAATTACTGCGACTTCCGGCTCCAGCATCATTATATCATCAGTTAAAGCTGAAATATGTTTGACCGACCTTCTGGTTTGTTTAGTACGTAGCTGTTACAAGAAATGTTCTCAAGTCAAAAAAACCCACATCTCATGGTAACTACCGTAGATATACACAATAAAGGCCTTTATTAGAATAGAATAGAATAGAATAGAATAGAATAGAATAGAATGCTTTTTATTGTCATCATACACAAGGTACAGCGAAATTAAAAAACAACTCCAGTGGTGCAAAAGTATAAAAAGTAAAAGTATAAAAAGACAAATAAGAATATATACATGTATTTACAAAAGGAGCCGGTAGGACGTATGTACAGTCAGCCAGACGGTAGAATAAATATACTACCCTGTTGGGGTAGGAACACTGTGGATATATGAGGAATATAAATAATATAAATAACTACATAAATATTATAGGTAGTAAATATATGCACAGCACAGAGTACAGTATCATGAATAATAATAATAATAATAATAATAATAATAATAATAATATAATTTATATCTATGGTAATTACGCCACAAAGCTCCAACCTTAACGTGTGTCTTTATATTTTCCAGAACCTGAAGGTCTCTTAGTTGCTCTTCATGGATGGTTCAGGGTGTGTGGCGTTCACTTCCACCATCCTGCTCCAGAAGCTGTTCATCTCTCTCTGCAGCAGATGGCGCTATTGCTCTAAGAATTTTCCTCTGCTTTCGGTACATGACAAGGACAATATTGGGCACATTTACCAATTACTTTTCTTTTCTGATGTCTGAGTGGACTTGCTATGATAAGTCCTGCTCATTGCTGTGGCCGACCTCTCCTTTATGCTTTATAAGAGAGATTCAGAATCGTGTTACCAAAAGTGTCCTTGTGGTAAACCTGACAGAGAACGGCTTGTCGGAGTCTCACTTCCAGCTTCATGCATATTCTTTACTTTTTCTTTGCCCAGTCATGCTCTGAAAGTAAATTAAAGAACCAAAATAAGAATAAAAGTGGAACGTTGTTGGGAGACGGCGTGGCAGCATTTCAGCTGCTCCTTCTGACAAGTGCTGCTGCTGATGTCTTACCTCTTTGCTTTGTGTATGAGGAGCTGATTGTCTTTTAATTATTGTTATTTTAAATCCAATTGCACAAAGACTTGTGGTGTGAGGAGCTTCATGTTTCAGGATCCTTGAACTCTGATAAATGTAATTGCTGGTCATTAAACATGGAGCTGGCATGTTCAGATGTTGAATGCTTCACATTTTTCTGTCATTAAGCGTAAATGAGCGGCTCTGCTGGTCAAGGCAGTTTTGTTGATGATGGCATGAGAGCCATTGTGTCGTGTGTTTTTGTGCCGGGCAGCAGAATTAATTTCCTTAGATCAACCCCAGTTTTGAATTTTGAATAGAAAGCTATTGTTAACTTGTCATGATGTGCATGATGCTCCATCAAGGACCAGAGAGATGCCACTCATCAGCACACATCAGTGCTGCTTGTTATGAGATCGGTACATATGTGTGCAACTTACTGCTAAATGTGAGAAATACGTCAGATTTGTATTCACCTGGAGTACAGTTCTTAACTTCAGTTAGATTTAAAATGATGATTGAAGGATTCTTTTCCTCTTTCCTACTCATTGGTTCCTGCATTCATTACAGATATTAAAGCGTGAGGCCAACTGTCACAGGGAGGAGACTGTCCCCTCCTAATTTCCAGTTGTCTATTGGGGTATTGTTTGGAGCTTCAGTCATGGTCAAGTAGGACGCCTGGCCTGCCTTTTCCTTTAATAAAACCCTTTAGATGGAATGCCTCCTAGTGTTCGCCCAGGGAGATAATTAATGCATTTCCAAAGAGTCAGCCAACCTTGAAATATTGAACAGTTTATTTGCCAGGTACACTGAGGTGAATAGAATGAAAAGGCTGTTTGTACTGAATATTTTTTCCTCTATATATCAGTTTCATAAGTGGTTACCAGTGACCTTATCGAGGTAACTTGAAATGCAGCTCTCAGCCGGGGCAGTCGTTAAGCACTGTTTTTAATGAATTGGCACGTTGGACCTTTTGTGCTCGTGAAAACTTTTGAATTTGGAAAACGGTTTAATTAAAATGTGAAAATACGAATAGAAAAGATCATTTAATGATCAAATTGGATGCATCAAATGTGAAGATACCTGTGATGAGACCAAATTGAGTTGTTTTAGAAAACTAATGAATGACTCTTGACTTCGCCGCTCAGCTGCATGTTTGAGTTTCCAGCAAGAATCTGTTGTCAGAAGTTTTCCATGAGCCTCTTTTTCTGGTTCCAGACCCCAGAGCTATTTGTTGCCTCTTAAAGTGAGGGTCATCCACAAGCTGTTCATATACTGGCAATGAATTAACATATTTTTTGTTTTTTTCTCCTTTCTAAATGCCATAGGGTTTGTCTCAGTGTGAATGGTTTGTGCTCCGGGTTAGAGTTCAGCGTTTGAACTGTGCGTTTCCATCGCACCCCCGAGTAGAACCGAGCTACACACACGAATGTGAGGGTGCTTTTCAGTTGTTCGTTATGTTCATGTTGTTTTTTTAATTAGTGATCATGGACGTTTCAAGGTTGTGGAGACTCTCCAACTTGAGCTGATGGTGGTAATAAACTCATTATGTTTGGCACAATTAGGAACCTACACAGAGAGAGCAGAGTTTGCAAAGTCATTTATCACAAACTTATGCATTCGTCTTAAGAAGCTCTGACATCATAAGTGGAATTTTTTTTAACGCCAGATGCTGATAATTCTGTTGAGATTTAGGTTTTGAAGGGAGCTTTTGGGACCAGCGTGCTTCCCACACTAACCACACCAGTAGTGATTATATATTAGCGTGGTTGTAATCCATGTGGACGGGTTCTTGTTGTTTGGCCCTTGTCCTCGTTATGGTGACTCCTGCAAGCAGCAACATGACAGACCAACATGAGTTGGATGTTAGACACTGTAAATCGCCTTAGGTTGCCTTGGCTTACTTGTTCTTATTAAACACAGAGGAGTAAAGGCAGATTGACTCTTTTCATGGTTTGTTGCTTAACAACCCATCAACACGACCAAAGTCTAATCACTCATAACCAGTTATAAAGGACTCCCTCCGCTGACAGGGATTTTCCCCTATATTTCCTCTGTGCCCAGTGCAGATTTAAGATGTAAGCAAATAGATCTTCTCCTCTACTTATGAATTATGACTTTCATTTGGAAGTCGTCGTGCACACTGTGTCTTCCTCGAGCCCTTTTGTGGATTTGTGGCGTCGGAGGCTTTTCCATGTCCTCTTTATGGACACCAAGATAGGATTCATTTGTGGATTAGCCTTTTGTCGCTCATGTTGAAGCCATTTTTTTTAATGGGTTTGATGGTGTAATGGCAGTGGTGGGTCAAATCTGGGTTGAAGGACGGAGTCACAGGAAGGACGCAGGGACGAGTTGTCTGCAAGTGTCCGGCTTCTATCTGATTGTTGGGAAAAGTGTGAGACACGAAGCACAATGTCTGCATTTGCAGTTGTTTATGTGTGTCACTGACAATCTGGATCTGGTTTTACACGCATCAGTTACATGAGACACACACCTTCACACGGAAGCAGTCACTCCTACACAGAGAATAACGATTCATAAGTAATTGTTGTGATGATGTGATTCCATGTGGACTGCTGGTGATGGGTCTGAAACGGTCCCTTTGGCCACAGAATGCTGTTAACAAGCTGTGGTGCTGGTTTAGCATGAACACGTGATTCTGCTGCTACAATAATTTATTTTCAAGTTAATAACTGAAAGACGTTTTGTAAGTTGTTAACACTGGCAAGAGGAATTACAGAGACCAGACTAAAATAACGCCAGAAATTCAGCTGATGCTTCATTTTTACTGATATTAAAGTTACAGGTAAGGAGCTACAGAGAAGTCTGTTTGCTAAGTGTTCTCTACATATGACAACATGGAAATGCCAGACGGAGGACTGGGAATACATTTTGGGTTCACTGTCATGAGTTCTGTGGTCATTAACAAGATGAGTTCTTGTCAGGAGTCGAGCGAGAGGAATCACACGGCCTGTAATTTGTAAGCAGATCAGCCTCCTTCTTGCTTCTGCGTCTCTTTATGTTAACTCTCGTCTGTATGGACTGTGGGCTGTCTGCATTATGCCTGGAGCACAGGATTTGTTTGGCAGTGTGCAAATTCGGCCGTTATCCTTCCACGCGATCGTTTCCTCTCCCGCTTATCTCTCCTGGCCCCTCCAAAGTCACCGTACTTCCACACACACTGACAGCGATCAGTATAGCTTTCAGACGCTTGTCTGGCTGAGTCTGCCAAGAAGCGAAGGCCCTCCCAGGTCCCCTCGCTGTCCTCGGGGCTTGTGTGATTGAGTGACTGGAGTGAGTGGGGGCCAAAGATA